ATATTCGGTATGTCCATCAGTGCTTCCTGCGATTTTTACTTTGATGAACGTCATTGCCATTTAATGAACGTTATTCACTTGAGTGATATCTGGATTGCGTATCGTACTCATAAACCCACGAATCGTCTCCAGTAATGACTTTTTTGATGAATGTGGGATTGGATTCAGCCTCGCAAATCATGCCTTTTGTGACGTCAACACGGTCTCTTTTTTGCATGAAATTGAGGTATTTTGGCACCAACTTTGCTGCTACATGACGGAAACCCAAATCATTAACCAAAATGTCTTGGACAGATCTATAGGCAATGTTCAAGCCCTCCTTTATCTTTCTGATGGTTAGTGTGCGGTGATGTCTGGATTGCGTATCGTACTCATAAACCCACGTCTCGTCTCCAGTAATGACTTTTTTGATGAATGTGGGATTGGATTCAGCCTCGCAAATCATGCCTTTTGCGACGTTAACGTCTCTTTTTTGCATGAAATTGGTGTCTTTTGGCACCAACTTTGCTGCTACACGACGGAAACCCATATCATTCACCAAAATGTCTTGGGCGGATCCATGGGCAATGTTCAAGCCCACCGCTATCTCTCTCATGGTTAATGTGCGGTTATTGACCAACATTTTTTTTACTTTATCCATGTTTTCGTCTTTTTTCGATGTCGATGGTCTGCCACTGCGTTCATCATCTTCGATTGACTCACGACCACTTTTTAACCGCTCGTGTCACTGGTAAACGACCGTTTTCTTTGGAGAATCGTTGCCGAAACACTTTTCCAACCTTTCCAGCGTTCGCACACCATTAAATCAGTTTTTACGCAAAATTTAATAAAAGCTCGTTGTTGCAAATTTAAATCCATTTCTAAAATTGTAAAGAAACGCCAACACACAGAGAAATAGATGTACTCTTGGCTACGTAACTTTTGCAAATGTCAAGCTATGACGCTATGATTTAGAGGGAATATCAACAACAGTGTACCATCTNAAAAAAAAAAAAAAAAAAAAAAAAAAAAAAAAAAAAAAAAAAAAAAACAGAACTCAAATCGGAACGATGGTAACGCCACCTGGAGGTTATTCTGGGAACTTTTTGATCAAGGTGGTATATGTGTGTGTTTGACGCAGTATTCGAAGTAAATTGTGGTTCTGAATTGATATCCTCACCTAACTATCTTTTCTTTTTATCTTTTTTTAGACATTTTGATAAAATGATGACCTGCCATTACACAAAAATTGCAGAGAGATGCAAAAACTACTACCATCTGTTCCTCCGAGTTATGGAACCTTACAGAGAATTACAACACAGTGTTTGTGCAATTATTCCTTCACCTTAGAGTTATAAATATTATTAAAATTAAATAAAAAAAGTTCATACTAAACGTGTTTCGTTTCATTTATTTCCTCATCTGAGGTCAAGCACATGATCCGTATGCTTTCTAACTGTTAAAATTATTCCTATTCCATCTTATCATTGTAAAACAAAATAATTCTTTTAAATTATTTCTAGTTCTTTAAATTATTTGCCTATTAAATCTAAAATGAAAGACAAAAATTAAGACAAGCTCATTTTCAGGAAGATAAGTATTTATTTGAGGGCAAAAATTGCAAGCATTTATGGTAATTTAAAGGAAGATTATTTAATTACTTATTGCTGGAAAAATTAGAATAAATTACAATATAGAAATTTACCGTGTTAATTAACTGTTTACTAATAGTGTTTCAAGAAGGAATTGTGTGTGAAAAGAAATTTGAAAAAACGTTTTATGATAACGTAAAATCCGAGGAAAAACGTTATGAAAACTTTAAACGCAATTTACCAAAAAACATTTGTTTTTATTTTAATTTTATTTTATTTTTATATATTATTATTTTTTTAGACTATTATAATTTTATTGCTTAACTAACACTAATATACACTATTTTGCATTATACTTCACTTAATATAACACTACTATACAAACTCATTTTCTCATATTTCTAAAAAAATAGATAATATTTTTATATCTTAAAAAGTGTTTAGGTCATGCGATTTCTCATACATTTCAAAGAAAAATAATGTTCTTGGACACCCTATGGCAAAAATTATAACTATGAGCTTGTAACATATGTCAAGTTATTTGTTTATTACATTAAATAGTTGTACGAAATTTCGTAAACCTAGCTTGAATATTCATGGAGATAAGAACATTTTTATAAAAAAAAAGTAATTTTTTTTCACCTTACGTTTTTTATTATAACTGTAGAAATAATCAATAAAGTAAACAAAATTTTTAGATTAATTTTAACTTTATAAAAAAATATCATTTTAAGATTTGAAAAACATTTGTTAAAAATTGCCCAAAATATAAGCATTAAAAGTAATCCTTTCATACTGTGCATGCACGAAAAACGTTTTAAAAAAATTCATAACATTGTTTTGAATCATATTTGGTATCATATGAAAAAAAATTCGATTTAAGTACATTGAAAATTTAAAAAGTTTCTATCAATTTTCCAAGCAGTGTTTGTAAAATTGGAAAGAAAGCTGTGAATGGTTAAGCATTTTCCGCAAGTTATATTTTGTACTATTAAAAAAGATTTATTAAAAATGACATCGGCATTATATAATACCATTTCTAATAGAATAGTTTTATTTCGCGTGCTTTCCTTCCTTTTACCATCCCACTTTGTTGCCTGGACCATTATAGTAGAATATTATCATTTATTATAAAATTTTGTAGTATGTTCCAAAATGAAATTTGTGGTAAACCCCTAATCAGTTAGAGCTTACTTTAAAAAAAGCTAAATAAAAATAAAAAAAATGTATTCAAGATATTATAATCGGAGCTTTTCAAAGGTTACCAAATACGATTCATAACGAAATTACGAAATCATTTTTTCAAATGTCAACTATATCCTTTTAAATTTCAACTATATATTTTGGCATAGAGTGTTCAAAAACGTTTTTCTTTTCGTTCTTAATTTATGCCTGGTCCCTCAAATCTATAAAAGCTTTAAATTTCATTGATATGTGGGAGAAATCGCATGATCGAAACATTTATGAAGTTAAAAAATTATTCTCCAATTATATCTTGAGAAATATGGCAAAATGAGTTAGTATAGAAGTATTTCCATAATTTTGACTAATTCCTGTGTAATACTTAAAACATATATTCTATGAAATGTTATTAATGAAAATTTATGCTCGTTTACGTTCTAAAGTTATTAAATTTTAATGATTGAAAAAGTTTCCTAAAAAAAAAAAGAAAACCTTGGGTATTAGTTTTTCCGAAGGAGCACCTCTTTTTTCTCTAATTACTGAACGAATATAAAATTCAGCTGGTATCCCTTAATCATTAATTTATTTTATATATACAACATACAGAGTCAAATTGACATAAATTTATAATAATATATACTGCATAGTAAAAACATTTTCGCCTTGGCATATATAGATATAGAAGGAGACTGTGATTCAATGATGTTTACAGATCCTGGTGAGGAATGCTTTGCTGATTACTTTGCAGAGTACCAAAAACCTGGTGCAAATCCATTTGACGTCGTTGCAATGGAAAGAGCGTTGTGCAAGTAAGTTATTGAAAAGCGTTGATTTCGCTACTCANTATATATATATTAAGCTAATTTTCTATGATATTCCAAATTTGCTTCGTCGGATTAATAAGTGTCGAGTTAAGTGATCAAGGCATAAATTGGAACTTTTTTTTCTAGTTCAAATGATTATTTTTCAAATTTCGATAATCGTTTATTTCGTTGCTCTTAACAAGTTAAGAAATGCTCTTGCAAAGGTAAAATAATTGAATCCTTTGAAGAAAGTTTTTTTAATTGCATTTGCGTAAAATATTAACTTCATAGCGGGAAAAACAATAATGAATGAGATATAATTAGGGAGAGGCCAATCGGAGAGAACAGTTGCGGAGTCACTAGGAAAACTTTAAAATAAAGTAGACGAAATATTGAGTATACGCACACAGGTACTGATTTAATGTAAATGTTTCTTATTTGCAATGCACAAGTTAATCAAATGTGATGACACTGTGATCAATATTTACTTTTTTCATTGTGTTTATTTCTGTTTTATTTTTTATGCATTTATTTATTTATTTTACATGACGAACTTACACCTACAGATGTGATTTCTCTTTTTCTTGCACATTAAATGTTATTAATACTATCAGAATCTTAAATCTAAGATACGAGTCGTATCTTTTCTAACAGCTGTTAGTTTTCTTTTCAAGTATTTTAATTTTCGTTACATATATACATTAAAATCTCAGAGGGTGCAATTCTTTACGTATTTACTACACACAAACATCAATATTCATATTTTTCATTGTGCTTATTTTTGTTTTATTTTTCATACATTTTTTTTACCTAATGAACTTACACCTACAGATGTGACTTCTCTTTTCCTTGCACATTAAATGTTATTGATATTATCAGAATCTTAAATCAAAGATACGAATCGTATGTTTTTTAACAGCTGCTAATTTTCTTTTCAAATATTTTAATTCTCTTTATATACATACATTAAAATCTCAGAGGGTACAATTCTTTACGTATTTACTAAACACAAACTTTTTCATAAATTTTCTTTTTTACATAACGAGCTTACTCCTGCAGATGTGATTCTTCCTCTCCTTGCACATTAAATGTTATTGTTACTATCAGAATCTTAAATCAAAGATACGAATCGCATCTTTTCTAACAGCATCTTTTCTTTCACTTTCTAATATAAAATATCAGATACAGGCCGCTGAAGAGTGTCAAACAGGCTATTTTGGGGTGAAAGGGCAAACCTGCATACAATCGGTTGCAATCAAATTCACACTTGCCTTTTGGTATCGTATCTCAAGTTCAGGTATTGTAACCGTAGAAATACTAATACTGAAGTTTGTGTGAATTAAAAATATATTTAACTCAAGGATGAAAAATATTGATTTCAGATTTGAGAGTATTATCAAATAAAACGGAATTTTATTCAACAAAATGCCTCATGGAGCACATCCAGAAACTTAAAAAAACCTTACAACAAGCAATAGTAATACTTTATTTACGTCGCACTAGAGCATCTGAATAGGCTATTAGCGTCTGTTTTTGATGCATCGCTGATGTTTATCCGAAGACATGCAGTCACAATTTTGATCATCTGCTAAGGGGGTGACTCCCCTGCTTTTCTCCAGCACACAAAGTCAAGCAAGTGAACGGAACCCATAACACGCAACCTCAGCCCTTTCGCATTCTGATTAAAATGATTGCCCACCTAGTCACTGACTGCTGTCTGTGAGACTTGACCTTCGCAATCTTCTGGAAACCGTGCCTTACGATGTGAGACGAACTCGTACAAAGAGTGGTAATGAAAAAAAAAAGGTTTGAAATTTATCCTTTAAAGACTTTTTTTCTCATTTGGTTTATAAACTGAGAGAGATATTAATAAATCATAGGACTTAGAAAAGTGCAAAAGTACGTATAGTTAAAAATAATTCAGAATCTAAATAGTTTTTCATTTTTTTCTCCATATTTGCCCCGTAGCAAAAATTATTTCTATGTTCTGGAGCATTATTTTCATAAATAGACCAATCAAGCAACGATTATAATCATAAAAAAAACACAAATAACATACATGTAGCAAATACACATCTAAATCTAATACTCATAAAGCAAAATTCGCAAATATACACTGTTACTAAAACTGCGTAAAATAGCCGACAGCAATCTATAGATCTGATTAATTATAAAGTTTATGGTTAAGAACATATTTTCACCTTCGGTTTTGTAATCGTTTACAACTGGTTCGGTTAAAAATTGCAAATAGAAAACTGTATGGTTTTGTAAAAATTTACAACTAGCATGAGTTTCAAACCATAAAAATGAAACTTAAACGGACATTGGAACTTAATGGGAGCTGCACCATCTACGCGTGATACTTTCGTGTTCTAATGATCCAGGGTCACACCGATTGAAGAGAGCAGAACACTGGAGCGGAACACTGGATCAGAACACTGAAGCAATACACTGGAGCAGAAATTTCGCAGTATCAACACTAGGATTCGAATTCCTGTTAAACTAGTCATAAGACTAAATGATTAGCACTCNGAACAATGCGCATGCGCAAGTTTTTCTTTCAACGAATCAGCGACATTCAAGAACTTGGATAGTGTCAACGAATCATCCAATTTCTTGGACAGAGAAATCCGTCCAATTTCTCGGATTCAGGAAATTGGACCGTGTAAACAGGCCTTTAAGCAATACACTGGAGCAGAAATTTCGCAGTATCAACAGTAGGATTCGAATTCCTGTTAAACTAGTCATAAGAATAAATGATTAGCACTCTCAGCTACAATATGTACTCAACTTCACGGAACAAAATGGCTTTATAAAGCTCGCTTAGTTGGCACGGGTAGAATTCTGTTTTTTTTAATCATACATTTTAATCCAACAATTAATAAACGTTTTATCTCTCACTTAACAGTTTGAGTATCATCTTTGATTATTTAACTATTTTAGTCGAATATAGTAAAATAATAGTTTAATAAATAAACAATTAAATAAATTGCTATTTAACCAAGAAATTCAAACAATTTGGGAAAATTTTTTTGAAATTGTCATTGTCTGAGAAATTTGCAAAGCAATTCTAACAGCTTAAAGTTTTTTTTTATTAAAAAAGTGAGTTATGTGAGCTTGAAAAATTATTTTATTTTTTGATAAAACTCTTGCGAATAACATTCTTCTTCTTCTTTATTCTAACAATAACAAAAAATTCAACAAAATAATAGGGTATACTTAGTGCTAAGTAAAGCAAAAAACGATGTGAATAAAGCACAAATGAAAGTACATATATTGACATATTATACTTTCAGTTCAGCATAAATTGATATCATAAATAATAATCTTTCTCAGAGCTTAAACGTCAAAATGTCTCTGAAAAACATTCTGGTTCACAGAACTGAAACTATAGTATGTCAATTTAAATAAATTAATTTGCGCTTTATTCGCATTTTTTTTGGTTTAATTAATAACTAAAACTATTAGTTTCCATTAAAAATTTCAACATAGATAAGCAACATGGTAAGAAAAAGAAGCGGGCTTATAAATAACGAAAAAAGTGATAAAGTAAGTAATGAGAAAAAAAATCAGAAAAAAATAATAATAAAAGAATAAACTTCTGAGACTAAATATTTTTAAAAAAAATGCACTTACTATTTAAGACTTTAGATAGCCTATACGAAAAAGAAATCTTTGTTGTTTAAAATGCGATGAGAATTGGTTTTAAAATTTATTATCTTTTAATCATTCATTTGTTTTATAGTTTTTTAAAGACAGTGCTATTAAAAGTTAAGACGAGTTTTAATACTACAAGCCGGTGGAATCAAATTAGAATCCGTCTCCATATTTGCTTTTCTCATAATTTTAAATTTTAGATTAAAAAAAAAGTTTTTCTTACAAAATTATAAAATAATTTATCAAAACGTTCTGTAAAATAGAGCATTGTTCACTTTTCGTTTAGTTAAATGCATGAAGTCTGAATGTGGAAAAAAACCAAATAAGTAAAAATTAAAGTAAATTAAGCAAAAATGAAAATTTTGATTATATGCATGAGAGCTTTTCCACAATTTCTTACCCACAAAAAAACTTGCGGAACAAGAGTGGTGGCATTGCGATCAGTTTTCTTTTTTTTAAACTTCATTCGCGTGTTTACATTTAAAGAAGAAAGATTTCCCTTTTTCATTTGGACTGAAGATTATTGGCACCTTCAGAGCAAAATTAAAATTAGCATTTTTTCCTAAAATCTAGTATTTATTTAAAAATCTCGAAGGATACATAATTGTAACGCATTTACGCAGATATCATGAAGTGGTTCGCTGGCTTAGCATTTTGCCGTATGTATAATTCTTGACACTTATGTTTATTTCACTTTAAAATCATTAAATACATTAAAAGAAATGCATTATCTATAAGAAGTTATTAATTATTATATACATTTTTTTAAAGTAGAAATTATTAATTCATATTGCCAATTAAAACTATTTTGTCAAGCTTATAAATCCTTGTAGAAATGACCTGTCTTCGAAAAAGAAAGAATAGAAATTAATATTTTAGTAGCATAATTTAAAAGCTTAGTGTTTTATTGTAGTGTCAGTAAATATATTTTAAATCTATTATTGCTGAATAATCTATTATTACACAGCTCATAGATTTGAATGAAAAATACATTTCTTATTAGAAGTAATCTGACCATGCCTTAGAAGAATGTAGTGACAAATAATATTTCGTGATGCTTGTCACATTTGGAATGCAGTGTGGGATTCTAATTTTGAACGGTAAATTTTTATTTTATATTAGAAACTATGATCGCATATTGTTAAATAAATTCATTTTGTGAAAGTTATTAATATATTTTGTTAAAAATATCAATTACTTTATAGAAGTGACTAAATTTAGAAGAAGAAAAAATAGTCGAAATTAGTATTTCGTAAGGCTGGTCACATTAAGAGTTTAATGGTTCACTCAAAATTTGAATGAGTAAATATATTTCAAATTATAAACTATGAACTCAAATAGCTAATGAATTCAATTTGTGAATATTATAGATATATGTATTTAAATAAAAAATGCATTACTTATGATGCTTGACGGTAGAATTTACAAGTGTTCTTTTGGCAGTAAATATATTCTTCTTCTTTTTTGCTTTTCTTTATTGGTGGTGGGAATAGTGGATATATTATAATTAAATTATTTTTCTTTATTATTTATCTTGAGCCGCGACGGCTCAAGAGATTGAGCGTTAGTCTTCCAAGGTGGTGAATCGGGTTCGAATCCCAGCAATGGCTGGTCGATGCGGATCCGCATCCGGCTTGCCTCGACCACAGTGATGACGAGAAATATCCTCAGTGGTAGATGGATCATGGGTTAGAGTCCCTTACCGGAGAAGCTTCTCGTGGTCTTCCTCACCATGTAACGCAAATGGGGGTTAGTTCCATCAAACATCCTCCACGAAGGCAAATTTTTCCTAATATTTGATCCAGAAGTTCCCGTGTTTTCTGGAATGGATTCAAAATTACAAGGGTGCTCGGAGTTGAATATTAGTAGTTGTAAATCCGAAAAATTGGTTCAGCTCTTCAACGACGATTATAAAATAAAATATTATTTATCTTTAATTTTTTTCTCATTTTTTCTCATGTTCTTATATTTACGTTTACGATTTTTGTTTTTTATTTAACCACTTACATGTTGGAGTGCGTCTGAACTTTGAAAGCTATAAAAATAGAATACTCAACTATGAAATATTTTGAAAGTGAAATTATGCAAGAATATTAAATAATATAAGAACATTTAAACCCTCATGAGTGAGCTTGTATTACAAGTGTTCAGACTTGAAAAGATATGGAAACTTAATATGATATGGAGACATAATTTTTAAAGAAGTTATGGAAAGCTTGTTTGATCAGAAACTAGACTTAAATCGATTTGCCTTTATAGCAAAGATGTAAAATTTAAAATTAAAAATGATTCACAACGCTTCATTTTGACCCGATAAATGTTTAAATTATTTTTTTCATTTGCTTTTTTTTATTTAAAATTATTTTGTTTAATAAAATCATGTTTTAAAAGCATAATTATAAACAAAATAAACAGGTGGTTTCAGAAAACCTTAAAAATATTAATAAAGTGGCTTTGCTTATGCTAGCACGATTACGTTTTACCTTTCAGATAACCTGGTATAATGAATAAAAAATAGAATAAAGTATTGCAGAATGAGCAATAAACAACTTTTTTGATTAGAGCTATAAGCTAACAAACAACACTGGTGTTATCTTTAAAATAATTGACAAAACTGAATTCTCTATGGCTTATTTTAAAACAACCTCTAAGCCAATGAGAAAGTTCCATTTCTTAAATGTCTCCGAATTTAAAAATCTGATTAAAAATCGAAAATCGAACAGTTTGCAATTGTACTCATTCAGCTTCATGTTGAATTTCGTATACTTAGAGCCTAAAGTTTACCCGCAATCTGGTATACAGACACACACACACACTCTTTATTTTATTACATGTAAAGATATTGTTTCTTGTGAGAATAAAAATATCAAAACATCATGTGATCAAACACAAAATTTACGTCTGCCCTTGTAGTAAAGGTACACAACCTAAAATGATTGACATTTTTCAATGCCTTTGACTATAAAAATACTTTCTTTCAGTCGTAGTCGGCTTGGCTTATTCTGAAGAAGACGTTGCGTATTTATCCAACTATTATTGCTACCTTGATAAAGTGTTTCAATATAAGGCGAATGCAGAACTCGGTGGAGGCTGGTGCCAGTAAGTTATTACTTTTATAAACTCTTATTTAATTCGCACTCGTAATATTATTTACTATTGTAATGTATTAAAGATGTAACTGTTTGAGAAACTATATGGGAATTTAGAGGACAATAAATTTATATATTGAGCAGCTACTTGGTCAGTATGTCCTTAACGACTTATTTGGCCACCTATAATACTTAAACATCTGGAAAAGTCTGGAAATTTTTAGGAATTTTCATTTCAATAGACAGTTTAGATGATAAATAAATTTCTTTGCAATTTTCTTTCAGTTTTCTTTATTGCTATTTCTTCCTGAAGTTTTGTTGTTTATCTGCCCTCGTGATTTTTATAATCCATCATTAAATGGATCTAAGGGAAAGCCATTTATTTTTAATTTATTTTTGAAAAAAACCTTAATGTTTTTTTAAAGAAACTAAAAAAAAACAGTACTTGGTTTATGTAAATTTAAATATTTTTTGTTAAATGTGCCCTACACAAGTTTCATTTGTTAAGATTTGAAATAGTTTAATTTATGATTGATTGTGTTCTTTAGACCTAAAAGGCATTCATTAGGAAAACAGAAATAAAGCAGTTTTGAAGAGAAGAAAAAAAAAGCGTGAAGTTGACAAAGTTAAAATTAAGATAAATATCATTGACAAAGAAAAAAAAACTACCGTAGCTGAGGGAAACGACGCTGGCCGAAAGAAAAATCAGAACGATTTTTAAAAAAAAAATAATCCTTTCTGTTTCTTTTATTCATGCCCGGCGAATCCAGTGATTGGGCGGCTTCTGAATGCTCGAAATCTGTCTATCGTTTTCTACTTTAAAATTTTGGAAGCTAATGGAAGAAGCTTCTTTCCATTATCAAGTGCGCATATTTATGATACTATTTCATGACATTATTCAATTAAAAATAATTATAAATAAGTATAAATAAGTATAATTTAAAATTCAATTCAATTATAAATAACTATAATTTAAAAATTGTTTAAAACAGCAAATTTTTTAACGAAATTTTTACTATCGAAAGCATGTATTGAAATTTTAACTATTGCATTTATTTTCTTCAAAGAACACGATATATTGAAAAACTATAAAAATCTGAAATGAATGCTGGGATAAAAGTCTTTCAATAAAATGGTTTTTAACAATTGTAAAGCTTTTTTTTAAAAAAAGTGGTCCTGATCATTTCGTTGTTTCACAAGCTGTCACAATTATTTCCATGCATAATTTTTTAACCTAAATTCATTTTGAACCTCTTGATTTTTTCTTTAGTAATTTTCTTGATACAAATTTTTCAAGTTTTTATAACTGATATAAATATTTCTAGGCATTGTTTCCTAAGAATATTAATTTCAAAAATATTTATATTAGTTTGTCGCAATTATATGTAGAAATCTCTGAAAGAAAATGTCGAAAGTGGACTTTTTTTCTGAATCTCTTCAGTTGAAAAAAATAACAAACACTTATTCTCATTTTATGCATATTGAAAAAATATGGAAATATTTGTCACTCGACGAATAGTTTTTTTGTTGTTTTCAGATTCTTTTATTTTGCTACAGATGAAATAAAACTGCGATGAAAATTCATTTCATCTACCTAGATATTCATAATTTATATGAAAATTACATAAATTATGCTAAAACGATTCAATTATTTACTTTTCTGACCCAAAAAAACTAAAAAACTCCTAATAAATGCATAAAATACTAAAAAAATAAAAGTTTTTAAATTATGCTTAGCTCTTTTTTTCATTACATCGGTCTGAAGCTTACTGCATTGTGCTTGATTGAGTTTTTGCTAAAACTGATACAATGATCATTTAAAATATTTTCAAAATGGTTTACATTTACGGGCATACAGTTAGTTTATCTAAAATTATGTAGTAATTGTAAATAGAATCTTAAATAATTATTTAATAATATGTTTAAGAAACTAATAAGAACATCGTATTTCTTAAGTGAAATAATTGTCTTTTTTTAATTGTTGGAGTACATTTAGATAAATAATTAATTTTAAGCTATCATTTATGAATTAGTTTCATCACAGATTCCCAATAAAAAAATTATAATTCACGCTTCATTAAATTCAATTTGTTCGGTTTTATAGGTTTTGGATTAATTGAATATGATACAAATTAATCGGAAATTAGATTTAAGCTAACACTATTTAAGCTAAAGCAAGTAAGAACACTATTATAATCCATTGTAGCGAAACAGTGGCGCATTATACATAGTTAATTTAACAATATAATTTATTTTCTCCCTTAACTTTTAATTCAAAATTACTTTCAGTAAATTGTCGATAACTATTTTGAGTTCACCAGTCTCAAAAATTGTTTCCTTTTTAATGTACGTTATAATATGCACTGAAAAAAAGTAATGTCAAAACTACCAGAATAAGGTAAAATTTACAAAGTTTCTGGCTCTGTGGGAACGCCGAGAATCCTCTGTAATTTTTGTCGAAACAAGTTGGTAATGACTTTGATGAAATTAACAATGATTTTATAACAAGTGACAAAATTTGATAAATGTGGTAAAATTTGGTAATTTAACGGCCAGTGAGCGAATGGGTGGTGGCCACTTTGATCAGCTTACGAAAGAACTAAACTGGTATTTGGTCCTCGTTAAACTGCACTAGCATGAAGTGGTCTGCTTCGGGTGTAGATCATCGAAATACCAAAGTAGGGGAGTCATTTCTTCTGCTGATTATTAAAATTGTGATGACACGTCTTCGGATCATAGGATGTTTCCCAGACCATCGCCAATAGCTTATTGAGCAATTGTAGTTCAACGTAAATAAAGGAATTTATATTTTCCATTCATTTTGCCTCATATTTACTCGTCTCCAATCGTTCTTTAAAATTTAATTGCCTCCATTTAACTTAATCTACCGATTCACTTTAGCAAAATTGTTCTTGAAGAGAAATCCCGCAATAGGCTGAAATATCTTCAAGGATGATCTTCTGCATTCGTTCCAATTGTATACCAGACTGTACGTGCGAAGGTTTTCATATCGTCAGGGGAAAAAAATAAACATGCAAGTTTAAAGCAAACACAAGTGTAAAGTTAAAAAAAAATATTTTGACAAATACAAATGTAAATATTTTTATCGTCACTGTACTTATTATTGCATTTTAAAGGGATGCCAAAAAATATAAGTTAAAACTTATTTATCATGTTGTAATATGGCCTTTTTTTCCCCTACATTTACAGACATAAACCGAAAATCGCAAAATATCAAATACAGGCCGCTGAAGAATGTCAAACAGGATTTGCTGATGCAGCAAGGAAATATTATGACAATTTGAGTGTAGTATGCAGTGTGGATTTAGAAAAAGGTATTGTATTTCTATATTATAGGATTGTAAGCAACTCTTACGGTTGATTTCCTACTCATGGCTCTTCAACAGCTTGTATCAATTGTTGTTAAATCAAACAATTTTATTGGTAGCTCTTTTAATGAAGAAAAAATAAACATTTAAATTATTTTAATTTTAAAATACCTTAAAAGTAATTAGCATGGTGACATTAGGATCATGGGATTAATGAGCGTTCAAAGGAACTAAGCACGGTTAGTTTCACTGGAAATTCACATAAATAAAAGACAATTACTGATTCGTTGTGCAAAATGAATTCAAAAAGTTTTGGTTTACCTAGATATTTTAATGAAGTTACGCATGCAAAATTATTTAAAGATATTTAAAAGTCTGTAAGTCTGTNTACGGTTGATTTCTTACTCATGGCTCTTCAACAGCTTGTATCAATTGTTGTTAAATCAAACAATTTTATCGGTAGCTTCTTTAATGAAGAAAAAAATAAACATTTAAATTATTTTAATTTTAAAATACCTTAAAAGTAATTAGCATGCTGACATTAGGATCATGAGATTAATGAGCGTTCAAAGGAACTAAGCACTCTGAGTTTCACTGGAATTCCACATAAATAAAGGACAATTACTGATTCGCTTTGCGCAAAATGAATTCAAAAAGTTTTGGCTTACCTGGATATTTTAATGAAGTTACGCATGCAAAATTATTTAAAGATATTTAAAAGTCTGTAAGTCTGTATACTTTATAAAGCAGTGACCGCGGAACTATCTCAAGAGTGGGGAGAGGATCCTCTCTCAAGAAATAACTTTTATTAACATGAACTGGGTTCAAATTTCAAATTATCTGGACCTCACAAAAGGTCAATCAACAATTTTACCTTCCAATTTTAACATCATGCATTGAATTGCTTTTTGAATCATGATTCAAATTGGATTTATAACTTAACAATAAAATAAATTTGAAGATAATGACGGTCAGACGCATTTTCATTGGACAGATGCATCTCATGGTAACAACGAATTCATTATCGAGTCAGAAGTCTAAGTAGCGTTATGCTTCTTCCTGGGAAATATCTAGATGATTTTTATACAATTACGTAAAAAAAATACTGAATCGAGTGTTTGCGATTATAATGAATTGGATATCAATGCATAAATTCATTTTTTTTATGTTTATTTCAGGTATGTGTATATGTGATAGTTTCAAATACTCAAACTTTCTACAACATGATTTGAAATATCAAAGATTTCTAATTTTTTAACGAACGTATTAAATAAATTACCTCCTTGAAAACAAGCACTATACGACAAAAATGTAGAAAATGATGATATGGAGCAGCATATGCACGACTTTAAAATTTTTCACAAACATTAAACTGATGAGTTACTATTTTTGTAAACACTTCCAGTTGAAATGTATTAATTTTTTACTTTACAAAGATAAATAGAGTTAAGTGAAAATGCACTAATACACACAAAAAAGAACTATTATATAGAAATATGCAAACTGATGTTTTAGTTTTGTTAAAAGATAAAATATTTAAACTACATGTGTAGCAGTAGATTAAAAAATTCTAAATGTAATGCTTATAGATATCATATTGTAATACTGGTAATTAAATTTCATATATTTATTTATCTTCGGTAAAAAATAGAAACCAGGAGCTGCCAAAAAAAATAAGCTTGAATCACGAGTACTTCACAACATCTCTTAATGATCATTCAATTTCTGCTGTAATTTCTGTATTACCGGTCTAGTTTTAAAACAGATTTAACCCCTAAATTGATTTATTTTTATCTGGTCATCATAGGTGAATGAAGGTTTTTTTATTAACTGAGTCATGGCTCTCTTACATAATGCTTGTATTTAAGCAACAAACCCGACTAAATTTAATAATACGGATAACTCGTATTATATTTTAAATACTTCTTAAATATTTTTAGGTTTGGAAGGAAACTGTGCATCTGAAATGTTTACTGATCCTGGAGCTGAATGTTACTTGGATTACTTTACAGAATTAAAGAAAACTGGCACAAATACAGTTGATCCAGTAGCCAGGGAAAGATTTTTGTGCAAGTAAGTTATTAACGAAATGTTGCGAACATCAATGTCGTTTAGTTTCAAAACCAACATATTTTTTGTTGGTAACGCTGTTGCAAAATGCAAGAAATATTACTGTTTTTTGTTTCAAAACCAGATACTTTTTTTTAAAGTTATGCCGATATGAAGTATAAGAAAGTTTTATGTCATTTGATTTCCTAATGTTTTATGTCGTTCAATTAATTTATAGTAATTAATTAATTATTTTAACTATAATTAATTTATTTTAACTTTAATTAGTTTAACCTCGTTATTTTTAAGCGAATTATAATATAAAGTATAAAAATTAGATTTTTAAGTTACTTTCAGAATATGTTTGAACGTAATTTCTACATAAAATGTAGAAAAGATTCAGTTTAGTCTTAAAATCTTATAAAAATGTTTCATTTTTAAAACATAAAAATATTTTTTAAATCATTATTACGATGTGCAGAACACAAAAAAAGAAAAAAAATGGATGAATCTGAAACACTTTTGATCTAATTATCGAATTTACACGGGAAAAATCTTATTGGATTGAGGAGATGACCTCAAATATGCTAATTAATTAGTTCCAACGATATGTTATGCTAAAAATTCAGACACAAAAACTTGCTTTCTCTACGAAAACATGCCTTTTTGAGCCGGATTTGGATTTCTGACTCCCAAAATATAAAGAATTGCATCAATAATGGGAAATATGGTCCCAATAGTTTAGTCTGATGAGTGGTTTAAAAGTTTGTTGTTCAAAAGTTGACTCCTTAATGTTAGTTTGACTTTTTGCGTTCTTCATCATAAATATCTCGAAAACATTTTGAGCGAATTGAAAAATTTGCGCTCTTAATTGTGACATTAGAAAGATAATTCCAAAGAAAATAACATGAAAAGTATAACTTTAAGTAAATATCTATTATTTATTATTTTATTGATAATAGTCGAGAAAATTCGAATTATAAGGTATAGAAACTTTTACACCATTAAAAAAGACAAATTCAAAACACAAGTGAAACTGGTCGTGATGAGAAATCGAATTTCAAATATACGACTTTTTAAAAGTTCTATTTCCCAAGAATTATTTTATCAATTTTAGTAAACTTTTGTATTTTTCTATTTAAAATTGCATTCTTAAAAATAATGGAAAAAAATTTTGCGCTTCATAATTCAAGTTTTTTCAACTATTATTAAATAAAATAATAAAAAATATTTGCGAAATGTTTTATTTCCTGATAAAAGATATTTTAAATATTAAATAATTTACGGAATTCTCTTTAGATAAAAGAATATTATTGTGAAGAATATTATATTATCTAAACATCTCGAAAAATGTTATAGTTTTTCTAAAAATTAAGAAAATTAGAAATCTTTACGGAACAATCTTTGGCAATTTAAAATTCCGGGTAGTTCCGATTAAGGAACGATTTTCCGATTTTTCTTTCATTCAGCTTCTTTGTAACGTTTTTGTTTGCAATGTAACGTTTTTGTTCTCTTTAATAATATTTAAAATAAATAGTTTTTCATTGCTTTATTTTAAATTTTTGTGTTCAAGTTTGGTGTTAAGTTGGGAATAAATTATTTTTCTGGACTGAAAACCACTAATTATTTTTTATTTTTATCTCTTTTCAGACACTTTGATAAAATTATGGCCTGCCATTACAAAAAAATTGCACAGAAGTGCAAGAAAGACTACCCAGTTTTTCTTCAAGTTATGGATCCTTACAGAGAACTACAACACAGTATTTGTGCAATTCTTCCTTCTGATTCTTAAAATTGTCGATATTGTCAAAGTTAAATAAATAAAAAAGTTAGTACTAAACGTGTTTCTTTAACTCTTATTTCATAATATGAGAATCTATACTTGTTTCGTTTGGTCTCCAACTCTCATGACTGCTTCAAGGTAATTTTTATTTCTAAAAACGAAATTAAAACTTTATTTCAGAAAAAAAATCATTCCAGTTTCTTTTATTTTTAATATTCGCACCCTGTCTCTAAATTAAAATATAATTATTAAGATGCACTCATGAAAGTGTGTCATATTTAATTTAAAACTCTAACATCTATTGAATTCTAAGCTTCGAATGAACTGTTACTGGAGATAATTTTTATCAGCATTGTGGTTTCTACAGTCAAATTATTTTGCTACATTTATTAAAACTATAAATAATGTAACTGCTGAGATAAATATCAAGATAACCCAATCTTCACGGAGACTTTGTTTCTTTCAACTATTTTGCAATTGAGTTGCATAAAAGTAAAATCTTTAAGATCTTCCATTTTTTTTGATTAGAGCTAGTAAGTTACCCTAAAAACATTTGAAAAATTTAATCATCCACAGCTTATTTTCAAACAATGGCTTCCTCTAAGTCAATGAGAAAATTTCAATTTTAAAATGCTTCTGAATTTAAAATATAATTTTAAAAAAATCAAAAATTGGTCTTTGTAATTCGTTCATAATTTTACTTATTTAAATACATTTTTAATCTTGCATTTTTAAAGCTTGCAATATATCTGCAATTCGGTATACAGACGCACAGACAGGCACAAACAAAATCTAAATTTTATTTTATAAATAATTTTCTAAATAGATTATTTGTTACCCTTCTTGGTAGCTTTAACATATTAGATTAAATAAAACACATTTTTAGTGGATCATCCCACCTAAATAACGACAAACTGCATTCATAGTCATCAAGAATAAAGCTGTTGTTCAAGACAAATCATGACATTTAAAATTTATCACAGTCAAGCGACTTTCTCCTGTACTTATCTATCTTTATAATAAATTTATAATAAAAATCTACAGTATTTGGTGCATCTGTAATCGGCACCAAATTTACTCTACATTGTTCCACTATAAGAGTATATTTGGAACCTATCAAAACTGCATCAATTACCACAATGTAGTGCTCATTACCAAATTTATGTGTCATTGTTGTCAATAAGTATAGCTACTTTTTATGGTGACACAAGACGATAGTTCCATTTTTTCCATTAGTTTTGTTTTTCAGTACCAAACTTTTTTTTTTTTAAGTTTCAATTACCGTCGATTTCCCAGTGTAAGAAATCTATAATTTTAATTAACATTAATACTGTGTAATTATATAAATACACATTATTATTAGAATTAGAATTAGTTCCATTGATTAGAATTAGTACCATTTTTCGATTAGTTTTATTTTTTAGTACATAGCTTATTTCGTACTTCGAACAGTAATTATTTTCAAAATTAATTATCAATAACGTCAATAATAATATCGGCGCTTTATTACTTTCTCTTCAACGAATTTGTACTATTTTCCCCTTAATTTACTTTTCAGCTCAAAACTTATTTTTTAAAATTTTAATTACTTTATATTTTAAATTATTTAGCTTTATAAAAACCCGTTTTTAAAGCATAACTATAAATAAAATAAACACGCGGTAATAGACAAAATAACACTCAAAACAAACACAATAAATCAGGTGACGTATTCTGCTTATGCAAGCAAGATCACGTTGATGTTTCAGATAACCTGACAGAACTTAATAAAAAAATAATTAAATATTTGAGAACGCGCAATGAACAACGTTGCTGATTAGAGCTATAAGCTAACAAATATCATTGGTGTTATCTTTAAAATATTTGTCAAAACTGAATCGTCTATGGCTTATTTTAAAACAATGGCTTTCGCTGAACCAATGACAAAATTCCATTTCTTAAATGTCTCCGAATTAAGAAATCTGATTAAAAAGCGAAAATTGATCTTCTTAAAAATTTGCCGTATGTCAGCTTTATGTTGAATTTCGTATTCTTAAAATTTATCGCTCATCCAATCTGTTGTTTACAGACACACACAAATTCTTTATTTTATTATACCTATAGATATGCATGACAGCTTTTAATACAACATTTGAATATTTCATCCTCACAAAAAAAGAAAAACTTGCCAAACAAGCGTAGTAGCATCGCGATGAGTTATCTTTTTTCATTCATTCTTTTCCTTTTTATTTTGCGTGTTTACATTTAGAGAAGAATGACTATCCTTTTCCATGCAGACTGAAGATTATTAGCAGAACAAAATTAAAGTTAGTATCGTTTCTAAAATCTGGCATATGTTTAAAACTCTGGAAGGATACAATTCGTTACGCATTTACGACACACGAACATCATGAAGTGGCTCGCTGGACTAGTATTTAGCCGTATGTATAATTTTTGACATTTATGCTTATTTGGATTTAGAAATATTTCAATAAAAAATACAAAACGTAGTAGAAGTTACCATGTTTTAGAAGAAAACAGTAACAATTACTATTTCTTAGAAATGGTCACAATTGTAACTCATTGTATCTTTCTAATTTAAAAGCAGTAATATACTTTTTGAACTAGAAGCTGTGAACTCAAATTGCTAATAAAATTCATTTTGTCAAGATTATAAATAGAAATTTAATAAAAATCTATTACTTTGTAGTCTAGTCTTACTTGTCATAGAAGAAAAGCAGGAAAAATTAATATTTTTTGTAATAGGACACATTCGAAGCTTGAAATGTTAATTTTTAATCATAGGAAAAAATAATGTTGAAAACGGGAAATTAAAAATAGGAAGGAAAAAAATTTCAAGAGTCATTAATTCAATAAGCAGTCAAGAGTCATAATTCATAATGAAAAGTCAAAACCATTTCCAAAGTTTTTTAGATGTAAGTAATAACTACTTATTTAGTAATAAGTAAAAGTAAGTTTGTCAACGCAATAATTAGTAATGAAACTTCATAAAGTAATGAGATAAAAATTCAATTTATGAAGTCAATTTGTTTTTCGAAAATAAAACTCTATATAACATATTCCCTTCCAAAAGGATTTAGCAAATAATATTTCAATAAGGCAACCTTCCTAACTAAAGATTTAATTTATTACGGTTCACATGAAGTTCAATTCATTTAACTGATTATAATGAATTAATCAGGAAATATTTTAGCCTTATCAATGGGCTAAAAAAATAAAACTATTAATTAATTATGCATGCTTAGTATATATATTTAAATTTATTTTTAAACATTTTTTTTAAATTTAAAGACACAATATATACCTTAATAGTTAAGACATACGGTAATCTATAGTACCCAAATTATGTATCTTGTTCTTTAAAAGAAGCGATGTGAGTTGGCATTCTGAAATTTATTGTTTTATTTATTTCTTATTTAAATAATCAAAACAATAATATTAGAAATATTGAGATCGATATATGACTCCTGTTGCAACATGGCCGGAAACGAGTTAGCGTATACCACTTCCGTGCAAAGTCTGTACTTAACGGAAATCAAATAAGAAATAAAATAAATAAAACCTTCGGTTTTTATTATGTTTTCCCCCTTTATATTTCGTGTTTGCATCTTCAGAAGTGGTTACTCTTTTATATGCAGTATATTGATTTGAATATTTTAAGAACAACTGTCAAATTTGCAGTTAAATTTGTGCAAAAATTTTTGAATGTTCAATTCTTTCGGCGCTTAAAGAACAAGACATTATGAAGTGGTTCACTGGATTAGTTTTTTGCAGTTAGTATATTTTTTTGTCGTTTATTACATTTTCGTTTAGAGCTTTAAATATATTTTAATAGAACATCACTTGTCCAATGTAATAATTTTTTTAAAGGAAAGTTGTAAAAAATTATAATTTTTTAGGAGCTATAGTGCTAGACGTCTCATTTTAGTTAGAAGAAATTTATTTTGTGAAGATGAAGCTTGTAATTTCAATAAAAAAATTGAAAGTGATGTTCATTTATAAAAGGTGAACAAATCTTAGAAAAATACATTAAAAATTTGTATTTTGGAGCTAGCCATGTTTATACCCCTTAGTCACATTTTAATTTGAATCAGTGAATCGATTTTAAATTAGAATAATGAGCAAAAAAATATAAGTAAGAAAAATAATAGTAATAAATAAGTAAAAAACATACAATACTAATTAAAAGTCTCCACGTCTAAAGAGAATGCAGTTAAAATTAATGTTTTTTAAGTTTTGCCACGTTTTGTGCTCAAAATCACATTCTAAATTTGAACCAGTAAATAGATTATAGTAAATAGAAAATTGAACTCAAATTAGTAAATAAATTCATTTTGTGAAGCTGAAGTTTCCATAAACTGTAGTACAAAAATAGATTACTCAATAAATGTGACCAAGTTTAAAAGAATATAGTAAAGATTAACATTCTTGTCCCGTTTGGTGCTCAAACTCACATTTTATTTTTTTCAATAGAAATTTTATTAGAGATAAAGAACTCTTCTTGCTTATTAAATTTATTTTGTGATGCTGAAGCTTACATATATACTCTAGTAAAAATGCCTTACTGGACACGACTTTTAGAATATGCAACTTTAACACTTAAAATAAATAATATATTAATTAGAATTAAAAACTTAAAATAATAAATAATGCAAGGATCTTAAAAAGTATTAGATTATAAAGATTATAGGTTTTCCAGCATCCAAAATTTAACCCAATTGCAAAAAAAGAATAAGTTTTGGCCTCAAACTATTGCAGAACATCAGTGGCATGTCATATACCAAAATTATACTAAAATATTTGATAAATATTATCAAAATTTCGATGATATCCCATAATGACCTTTAAAACAACTCATCGTGGCATTTTATAAAATCATCATCATCATAGTTGGCCAGACAGCCCAATGTGAGCCAATGCCTGAAGATTTCTCCATAACGATTTATCTTTTATCTCCAACTATTTTCATTAATTGCCAAAAAATCAGATTCCACCGAATTAGTTTTCTCAATCACCGCCTTCCTAACCTTTTTGTTCCAGTGGGTCTGAAACGGAATATCTTTTTTATTGTAGTCTCATCATTCTTTCGAATCAAGTGGGCCATCCAATTCATTCTAGTTTTTTTTATGTATTAGATTGTTTATAAATCAGGTTGTTTATAAATCTTGAACAATTCAGAGTTAAATCTCCTTCTCCAGTTATTGTTTTTCCTTTACACCACCAAGTATACTCCCCAAAATCTTTCTCTCAAATATTGCGATACAATTTTCCTCCAGTTTTGTCATTGTCCAGGCTTCAGAAGCATATGTCATTACAGGCCTGACGAGAGTTTTGCAAATTAAAAACCTTATTTTTCTAAAAAGAAACCTAGGGATAATAAATCTTCTCATCCTATAGACAGCCCAATCCTATGTGCCAGTTAGAGTCCAGTTTTTTATTTCAGGGGACATTCCGTTATCAATAGCAATAATTGTTCCTAAGTAAGTAAGACTCCTTGCTGTTTCAAATATATAAGAATCTATTTCAAGAAAGGAGTGTGGGACTCTGTTTCTTGAGAATAATATGTATTTTAGTTTTTCTACATTTATGACTAAGACCATTTGTTTTGCAGCCACCTCAAGGTCAAGAAATGCCTCTTTCAGGGCAGAAAAGGGAATTACATCAATATCATCAGCATATACAAGCATTTATAAAATATTTCATTTAATATTTTACCATTATTAATATATTAATTGTTTCCATAACTTTATGTTTCAAGGAGTAATAAATATATTAATAATAAAGACATAATATACTATTTATATATTTTATTCGAACTTTAAGGAATTTGATTTAAATAAAGCCAATTACTACTAGTTTCTGGAAGAGAAGTAGTGTAGGTCAATCAGTTTAATTTATTCCCCAGTATAATCTCGCTTAAAAATTTTCTTCTTAAAAACATTTTCAACAAAAATGTGTTATAATAATATGTTACTAATTTTTTACGAATATAACAGTACTTATAAAATGTTACAGTAGAAACAGTGCCGAACTTTCCTTGCAGTATTTTGAGGAAAACAAATAAAAGAGTAAATGATAATAAAATGAAAAAGGGGTACATGAAATACAAAGTATATGCAGCATAGCAACTAATTGAAATATTTCGTTCTCAGAAAGCGTTTTTATCATTTTCATTGTTCTATTCTTTTTATTTTTACGTTGCGTGTTTACGTCGACGGCAATGACTACTCTATTTCACCTACACTGAAGGTTATTGTAGCTATCAAGACAAATATCTGAATTGTATCTTTTTTTTACAGCTGTCAATTTTCATTTTAAGTTTGCATAAAAATCTCTGCATATTTGATTCTTCACTCATTCACTACACACAAACATCATGAAAGGGTTCTGCGGATTAGTTTTATGTCGTATGTATGATTATTTTTAAACTCATGTTTAGTTGGTTTTAAATATATTTTCATTGAATTGTTTCAATTATTAGAAGTTAAATGAAGAAACGATATTAATATTCTTGTTGTTGGTCATATTTTCTGCTCCATGTTTCATTCCAATTTAAATGTGTAAATAAGAGTAAGTGGGTGACATCGATTGTGTCAAATTTAGTTTTGCTTCCTAGCGGACAAAGTCAGAATTACACTTTATTAGTCAAGTTGAAAGATTTGCCTTATCGGCGTGTTGTTGTTAGTTAATTTATTTCACAGTGTCTGTGTTGATAAGTATGTTTTGCTTTGTCAACTCTCCATTATTCTTATATTTGAAAAAAAGCAATTTTTATTTGTATCATATTTAGTGCATCATATTAGTGCAACTAATTATATGTTTATTAAAGATTTATACCCTAACAAACTATAAGGATTTAGACCAATAGTAGCACTGTTCTGTTTTGTTTAAATAGCATCCACTCTCGAGCTCTACCATCCTGGTATTCCCTGGTACAACCGGAAACTACCCCGATCGGTTAATACCCCTCCCCTTGATGTGTGTCTATGTTGGCTGGACTCACGAAAACTGCAGAACAGCTAATGAAAAAAACAACTATAAGTAAGGCTGAACAAATATTTTATGGGCCTCAGAACAGTATTTATTGTGGACCCTTTCCTCAAAACACAAAAAGCTTCATTTTCATATTTTGTAGAATTTTTGAAGATCCTTTATGGAAAATTGTAGTTTTCTTATCGATATAAAGAAATGCTATGCAATTTTTTTTTTAAAAAAAACTGATTTATAAACACTATATTTCTGTAATGAATTTTGGTTGGGATCCTCAGTCCAGGATCTGAGATAATTGTCTCTCTCACCCCTTTCCTTGAGTGCGGCCTTGATTACATCACATGTAAATTACATACATGTTTTTTTCTTCTTTTAAATTGTCATATAAGGTAGAAATGTCTGTTGTTTGCCCAATGAAATTCTAGTATTTATAAATTCATTATAGAGTTAATATGTGCACCCGGTCTTATTCCTGGTGTGACAAGACCGAACTATTTGGCTTTTTCTAAAAAAAATAATAATTTATAATAAAATAGTATATCTGTGAATATTTAGGAATGATATATTAAACACAACTAAACATGAAATATCTTTATCAAATTTGGCAGTTTCAGTATCGAACAATTTTGCTCCAAGAGGCCTTCAAATCTTGGCTACCCTATCCAACCCTATGTTATTCGTGTTTTGTTCTGAAAGTCTAAGTTATAGAAGTAAAGTTTTGGTTTAATTTTTTAACGTATATTTTTGCTTTTTGGACAAAGGAGAATTAGAATTATGTGAATAATCTATAGTATTAACTGCGGCTGATATATTTATTAGTCATCAAATACAATAAATACAATTAAATAAAGTTTTCTTTTTTTTTCTTTTTTAAATACGGTTAACCTTTAATATGTCTCTCAGGAATCCCTTTCAAAAATGAAGCTGAGAAAATACTCATTAGGAGTGCAAATAATGCAAACAAATATTTAAGTGAGAAAAAAAACAGAAGTGATTTTGAAATCTATCAAATCACTAGGGAAAAAGACGATACAAAAATCTTGAAAACATGTTTCATTCAAGAAAACAGAAGTTTAAAGGCGATTATTATGAATACCTACTAGTTTAATTTAATCAGTTAATCAAACTGGTTTTGATATTTCTCCTCCCAGTTTCTTAACAGTAATTAGACAGCTTTCATTTCCTTTTCCTCAACCAAAATATTTATTTGAGAAAACTAATGTTCATATTTATTTTTTTGTTGTTGCTTTATTTTCCCCAAGGATTTTAAAAATGTATACAAAGCCATGAAACATCTTGTATTCCCGCAATATTTAGATTAAAAATATTTGAATAATTTTGCACCTTTTTATCATTGGAAATAGTAAGTTTTGAATGAAAAAACATTGAATCATCCTTTTGACTTTTTGGCAAACATATAAAAATTGAAATGAATGATATTTTGTGAAACTGTCTTTCTGACCGCAATAATATCAATCTTTTTTTTTTAATTTCAGTTGTAGTTGGCTTGGCCGTTTCTGAAGAAGAAGTTGACTATTTATCAAACTATTATTGCTATTTGGCTAAAGTGTTTAAATTCAGATTGAATGCTGATTATAGTGGAGGATGGTGCAAGTGAGTACTTTCTTGAAATACACAATCGCAACTTTCTTTTGTATCATACAAAAATATTTTTGGTTCAGAACTTGAATTGAAATTTAGAGGAATAGAAAGTGTAGACTGAGCGGCTACTTTAATTCCGTTCACTTAATGCAATGTTTGGCCCCATTTTGCCTTTAATACAGCTTTGGTCGTTTTAAGAGCCATTGATAGGTCGCATTAGAAACCATGTTTGAAAAAACAAACCTCATTTTTTAAACTGTATGAAGCTGCAGGATTCTTGAGGAATGGCTTTTTCTAACTTCATCTCGAAAATGCTCGAAAGAATTATGATCTGGAGACCTTAAAGGCCAATGCAGCATAAAGATTTAAAGTCTCTATTATGTTTCCTAGTCCTCTCCTTTACAATACCAGCAGTATGACAGCCTCCATTGGAGACAATGGGATAAATCTTCGGCTTCACAGTACGAGCGCAATAAAAAATTAAATATCAAATTACGGTAAAAAAATACTGGACCCTAGCTGCAGCCTCCTTAATATTCATTTTTATCGCAATATTTTTTACAGTAATGTTCCCTGAAATATTTATTTACTAAAGTGATTCAGTGATTTTAGAGTATGTATTGCAATAAAAATTGCAGTATATGATATTTTATGTTCCGTAAAATTTTACGGTAAAAATGGACTTTTTACCATAATTGGATCTGGAATATTTTTTACTGCATACTTGTTCTCTAACGTTATTTAGTGATCCAGACTTATCTTAACCAAACTCTTACATTCATGGTTTTAAAGTATGCCAGCCCTAAATAAAGCTCTAGAGGCATCACTTTACCACTTACTATCAGGCAATCATAATAAATAAGTCACTCAGTATAAGAAAGGCTCGGTTCAATGTTGAACCATAAAGTACCATACCTTAAATATGTTTAATAATTTTAAGAATTAAAAAAAGTACCATATTCTTTGTTTAAAAAAATCTGAAAGAGTCGTATTTTTTTAATTACTAGATATTATGAATTCAATTAATTAGTGTCATGAAGTCGTTAATGAATTAGTCTTGTTAATGAAGAATTTAATTTTCAACTGTGGTACACAAATTAGTCACGCAATTTGATCGAAGGGAAAAATTATGATATTCGTTTAATACATTACGCTACAGTTCAGCAATAAGTAGTAACATTTAACGTTATTACTGTTGAATAAATTTGAACGCTATTATCAATCATCTGTTCAATATTGCGCTACAAACATAAACCTAGTATTTCAGCAAAGTATTTCTTCCTTTTATATAAATCTTTAACCGAAACCACAGTCAAGAAACCCTTAACACGTATCCCCCGATTTCCACGAGCAAAGTAAAAGTAATAAAAAACTTCCGCCTGGATTCATTTTTCTGTCTATTTAGCAGTGCAGCTAATTCTTTTTCTGCTCCTGGTTTCATTCAGCTTTTCTGTGGTGTTTAATAATTATTTATTCAGATCTGGGTGACGGATTATCCATATTTCTGAGTAATATGCAAACATAGTTTTGCAATTTTTTTTTAAAAGCTCAAAGACATCTGGCAGGAAGCGTTTCGCGAGTGATGCAACCTACAAGCCTAACTATATATTTCCGACATTGGTAACAGTTACAACTTTGATTTCATGTACATTGAATATAGTTATAGTTAAACTCCACGTTTTGCGCATTTTTATTAGTATATAAGTTTTACCTTTGTAATTCATGAAATTAATCATAATTTAACAATGATCAATTTCCTAAGTTTTGCTTTTTTTATAATTGTTCTTCAATTTTAATTTTCCGACAATTTTTTTATGATAAAATTCTGTATTTAAAAACAAGAACTATTTTTAATTTTATTCTGTATATTACCATTAAAATGTATATAGATTTGAAACAATTAATAAAGGAAACACGCATTTTTTTTAATATCTATTTTGATAAAAAAAAAAATACGCAGCAAGATTGTAAACAACGATTCTCAGATCATCATCGGAAAAGTTTTTTCGGTCTTATCATAAAAGTACGCAAATACTGGTAATTTCCTATTCTAAAATGGGATCCTAAGGTAAATAAGGTTTCTGTTTCAGTTTAATCTTAGTGCATGGTTCTCGTGAGTTAGGAAAATTAGATTGCAATATAATTCTGTCTCCTATTAGTTCTAAGTTTCAAGCAAACTCCGAAAGTCTCCCATTGTATCAATGTTTTTTTTTAAACAATGTATGAGGACGGTCTTTTATCTGCTACCACACCTACCAATTCAAATCAACATATTAATTTTAAGTTTGATAAGCTTTGGGCTAATAATCTTCATTTCTATCACTGTGTCTCAGTTTGTTTACTATGTTACTAGTGATAACTACGAGATAACGGCTTAATTGCAACGTTATGTGCAGTGCTGGTTTTCGCATTTTTACTGGGTATATTTCCCTATCGTGATCTGCCACGCCAACTAAAATCGCCAAAGCACCAAATTGATTTTGAACTGGAAATTTTTCGTTAAAACACGTGTATATTTTTCCCTGAGGGTGTTTACGAGTTACCTCCTTCGAGTTGGTTTCTTTCTGTGATGTTTTTTATTTAGTTTCTGGTGTGCTGCTGCCCGGAAGTTGCCATAACTTGGCGATAATTCTGTCACATATCACGATACGGAAATCTCTCCTTTTTTTATTTCTCACTGTGACAAAAGAAGTGGTCATTATTAATATTGACCGGTGAGTATCAATAATAACCGGATTTATAACTTTAACCGCAACTATATTTGAACATATTAAAAATATTTCAAATATATTTCAAAAAATCACCAGAAAAGTGCAGCACAAATTATTTTATCCGCATTATTTTTGTAATTAGCTAATACTCCATTTCCAGATATGAACCAACTATTACGAAATATCAGATACAGGCCGCTGAAGAATGTCAAACAGGATTCGCTGATGTAGCAAGGAAATATTATGACAATTTGAATGAAGTGTGCACTGAAGGTATTATACTTTTATATTATAAGATTGCGAACAACTCTTATCGTTCAATTGCTAGTTTTGCGTTGTACAATAGCCTGTAACAGTACAGTTTGTATTTTAATATCAACAGTTTCTTTGAAAATCAATCAATTATTGTTTTAAGGAAAAAATGAAGCAGGTGCAAGTCAAGAGCAAAAATAACATTCAACAATAATTAACATGACATAAAATAATATAAGTGTTGAAAAAAGATGCGCTGTGCGTGAAATAAAAAACAAAACTCATTGGATAACTTATTTTCACGTACTAAGTGTCAGTCTTAATAATGATTTTAAATATTATATATTATAAATATTATAAGTAATTTGAGACGATGTTTTAAGTTTCGAAATCAAACACAAAAACATCTTTTCTCAATATAAACGTATCTCCCCCCCCCCCTGAATTTGGACTCATGACCCTCAATATATGAGGGTTTGCCGCAATCTGAGAAATACGGTCCCAATACTTTAGGCAGGACAGTGGTTGAAAGTTTAGACCTTTAATTGCTAATCTTACTTTTTACATATTTCACTGTATCTTGAAAACTTTGTAAACGAATTACAAAGTTTTGCATACAATTATAAAATCCTTTTATCCAAAATTAAATAATTATTGTTTTGCTCGCTACTTTATTTAAAAATTATCGAAAAAAATTTGAATTGTAACGCATTAGAATTTTACATCATTTTAAATAATGTAATTTTATTAAAATATAAAATTTGAATTAATAGACGAGTTTTATAAAAGTTTTCTGAGGAACTATATGAAGAAACTTCTTTATAAGATCTAGTGATCAGACTGCGATTCAGATTAATAAATCTAACCTTTAAATATGCAAATTCTCTTGTGTATTCAATATTTTTAGTCACGTTGCATTTAGATTTTTGAACTTTAGAAAAGGAAGCAAGGTACTGCAATCTGGAATTTACATTCCAAATAGTTAAGGAAAGAGAGTGATTAAAAGTTTTGACTACTTAATGTTAATTTCCGCTTTAATGCATATTTCGCAGTATTTCTGAACTTTTGAACGTGGTTGTAAATATTGTTTGTCCAAAAATAGTTCAAAAATGTTTATTACATTTATTTATTGTATTTTTGAAAATATTTTTAAAAACTAATATACGTTAGTCAAATTTGAAAACTATGAAGTACACAAATATTTTTATAATTTTGAATTATGTATTTTTGATTGAAATAAAGAAATTTTGTATGATATCGATAACATACTACTTGAGATATGTAAAATACTACATTATTCGAAAGCTAATGAATTACGTTTGGTGGAATTTTGTATTTGGACAGCATTTTGCATATTTTGGGATTCAGTACAAATTACAGTACCGGTAACGTGCGTGCTGATACTTCTTATCGTAAAATTTTACGAAACAAAAAATCTTATATAACTTAATTTTTACAGCAAAATTACTTAGAATAAAAATTCTGATATAAGCTTTTAATGTAAGAGTGAATTGTGCAAAATTAACGAACTTTACTAGCAAGAATTTATTTCTGCACTTTAATTATGAATTTAGCGAGCTTTTAAAATATTTTATTTTTTATAGTGTTCCGACTGCTTTTATATTTTTAATATTTTGTAAAAATGCTCTTTCCATGTAAGCGCGCACCTTTATCTATAAAAAGGGTTTTTAGGAACAAAATTACGAATTTTCGATACTATGCTCGAACCACATAAGGATAGTGTTTACATACCACCCCTTTAAAATTTGCAAAATGCTGAAATAACATTGTTTTTCAAAGATTAGTCGCCCAAAAGAATGAACCGGGCACAGTTTAATTGCCTAACACTCGAAGTGAAGCAATGATTTTAAATTATATGAATCAACTTACCGGGAAGAATTATCTGGGCTTTGTAACGAACAAATTACTTAAATGTTTTAAAAGTTGTGAAACTTTTCGAAAATCACCAATTTGGAAGAAAAAAAAATTCTACCTAGATGAAAATTGTCAAAATAATTGCCTTAATCTATGTTTTTGCAAATTTTTATGAGTCCGGATAATCCATCATTGGAGTACGTTTATATATAAAAAAAATTAGACCACAAACGCTTTTCATTTTTCCAAAACTGTGGCTTTTCTCCTTATTGACGCTTTGCCCCATTTTCAGATTAAGTGTAGACAGGTTGGCATTGAATAGGCTAAATTTGATAAGATTAATCATGAGTAACTCTTAACAAACTCACAGCATCTACGAGAAAAGCATGTTATTCTCAAAAAAAGCATCATTTCATATGACGACGAAGTCTTTGAAAGACAGCCATAAACACGATCCAAACCCGTGGTCTCGTTCTCGAGTTATTAGCGAACAAGAGAGTGTTTCACTTATACATAATTTTTTATATATTTAGATATATATATATATATATATATATTTAGATGTTAATCTTTACTTTCTTTAGGAATGTCAGAAAGAAGTAAGAATCCTAATTGTCGTAGTGCCACACATTTATCCTCATTTTATAAAAACGCAGCTTAGCTATATAGTTTGTATTTGAACAACTATGTGACTAAGTAGACAAAGGTGTTCAACACGGAAAACTCGTATTACATTTTAAATTTAAAATACTTCTTTATTTTTACAGGTTTAAAAGGAAAATGTGGTAGAGATATGTTTACTGATATTGGAAAAGAATGTTTTCAGGATTACTATAATGATTTAGGAAAGCCTGGTTCTAATCCGTTTGACCCGCTTGAAAGCGAAAGAGTTTTGTGCAAGTAAGTCATTAATAAAATGTTGGGACATTTAGTTCAATTAATTTCAAAAACCATTACATATATGTTTTACAAATAATGTTTTCACCCTAAGCGACAAACATTTTTTTCAAATTTTATTTAAAGTCAAATTTAGCACATAATGTTTTCATGAAGTGTGCGAAAGGTACCGTTTAGTTTTAAAATCTTTGAAAAAAAATTTCTTCATAAAATCGTGACTTGATTTTCTTTCATTTTCTATTGAACTATACAAACATTATATCAGTCATTTTTAAAATTTAAAAATTGGTGTTCCTAATGTTAAATATAAGCATTAGAAATACGAATTTTTAATGTTGGCCGGCCCTTTTTTGCAATATATCTTAAAAAACTTTTAAGCAATTTCTTAATTTACAACTTTTAAGCAATTTCTTAATTTACAACTTTAAAGCAATTCTTCTTAATTAACAACTTTTAAGCAATTTCTTAAATTACAACTTTTAAGCATTTCTTCTTAATTAAAAACTTTTAAGCAATTTCTTAAATTACAACTTTTAAGCATTTCTTCTTAATTAACAACTTTTAAGCTATTTCTATACGTCATCAACCATCTTTAGATACTCTTTTTCTGCTATTTTATTTTCTCTCTGTTATTATTTTTGTTTGAAAATTAATTTATAGTACTGTTTTGTTATTCACTTTTATTTTCACTATAAGGCCGTGATAGCGCAGTGGTTAGAGAATCGAACTCCGATCAGGAGGAACCAGGGTTTAATCTACGATCAGCTAGGACCCACCGAGTACATGTGATGTACGTGCTCTTAAATTCCTGTGGTCGGTCGCTGATCAGTACCATAGGTACAGGGAGGAGAAATTTCCTTCCCAATAAGATCCATGACACAATTGCGAAAGTGGCTAATTAGTGGTGATGCCATCCATCCGAGAGATTTTGAGCTAAGACTTACTTTCACCTTTGCGGTACTCTCTTGTTAAGCGAAAGGCGTATCTTTCTGACTTAATTTGTAAAAACCACTGACTTAAGAGATTGTATTGACCAAGTGCCATATGAAACAAAAAGTAATACATTATGCTATGTTTTGTTTTTATTATAGCACTGTTTCCTGTTGATATTATGACTACAGTAGAGAGCCGATTATCCGAACCCTTATTATCCGAACGTCCAATTATCCGAACTATGTCCGAATTCATTTTTTTCTTTTTTTTAAAGTTTAGAATACTTTTTAACTTATCAACAATTTTTCTAAATTTCTGAACCAGTAGATCTTCCGGATGAAAAGATGCCAGGTTATTCAGTAGAAAAAATAGAAGACTGGTGTCGAGACACTGAAAACGTCCCAGGATTTCAAATGATGAAATCGTTGCCGAAATTTTGAATGAAATTCGGAACTCCGCAGAGGAAGAGGGAGAAGTAGGTGATCAAGTTCAAGATAGTGGACCTTTTCATATAGAAGAATACAATGCATTAGATATTGCAATTAATTGCCTAGAACGTCAAAATGATGTTGATCCAGTTCAATTGATTCAAGGGATTTGACTGCTCAAAAAGGAGCATCATCTTTGAAACAAAAGTTTTTGCTGGATTTCTTTTGCAGTGGAATGGAAAATACGGAAAAATGTGGTCAAATCAGTAATTGACAAAAAAGTCATAAAAAGTTGAAATATGATATGATAAATAAAATTCAAAATGAAAAAAAAGTTTTAAAAAAAATTTTTGTAAAATTGAAAAAATGTAAACATAAAATTGAAAAAAAAAACCTTTTAAACAGAGTTATTTTAGATAGTACTACTATTCCTAAACCTAGAAAAAAATGTGAAGGGTAGTTAGTGCATAAATAATAATCATTTAAACTAGATTTCAAACAACTTTTCAATTATCCGAACCACAGTCGGTCCCGAGCAGTTCGGCGTGTTTAATGCAGTATTGAGAGCAAATTGCATCTTTTAAATCCAATCAACCATTAACGATTATTCCTTTTCATTTGTTTTAGACACATTGATACAATGATGGCCTGCCAATTCACAAAAGTTGAAGAGCAGTGTAAGAATGAGTATCCAGTTTTCCTCCGAGTTATGACGGCTTTCGTGAATCTACAACATAGTGTTTGTGCAATTATTCCTGATTCTTCTTAGAATTAATAGTAATATGAGAAATAAAAAAAAATTTCTTACTGAATACGTCTCTCAACTTTTGTTTAATCCTCGCATTTTTAACTCACGAATTACTTGATGTATAAATATATATAGTTTAAAAACCGTTTTTGTAAATAAGGTTAATAAAATATCACAAAGTACAAGCAATAACACATAAAACAAACGAAAATAAATAACGAATAAGAAAAAAAAGATTTTTATCAATGCAATCAAAATTTCAGTAAAGAAATTCTTACTTTCCGAAAAATACAAACCGAGTTTTGATGAAATATAAATCTGATTATACTAGTTTTAATGAGGAAGAAAAAACTGTTGTATGAATTAAGATTTTTGTACAACTTTTTCTCCATGAACTTTTTTGAACTTTTGAACGATTTTGTGAACTTTTTCTCCGTAAAATTATTGAAAATTAAAAAAAGTTGAACATGAATTTCAGAATTAAGAAAGCATCAAGTAAAAGCTACACAGATAAAAATTGCGGATCAAATTATGGTGTAAAGTGCATCATCCATACAATGCATTTTACAGTAAAACTGCAACAATGCGTAAAACTGTAACAACCGTACAATGCATTTAACAGTAATTTTTACTGTAAAATAATATATTGTAATTTTTACAGTAATGTGTCATTCATTAGAGTGATTATGTGATTTTACATTATTCATTATTGTAGGTATACAGTAGTTATAACGTTAAATTACGGTAATTATTACAGTAATTATTACTGTACGGTAATTATTGCTTTACGATAATTATTACTTTCTGGTAATTATTACAGTAAAAATGACGGTATATCAGATATTTTTTCCTTAAGATGTTCCGGAAAAAAAGGATTTTACGGTAAAAAGCACTGGCATGATGAGTGCCGACCTTTTTACCAAAACCCATTATATCCAAAAATTTTTACAGTGTACAATAAATTAGGTAAAAGCTGATCTTTTAACTCGTAAAAGCAAATATTAAATGTTACTTAATAAAGACAAAACCCCAAATTTAAACGAGATGTATAGATTAAATTTATAAATTCATTNAAAAAAAAAAAAAAAAAAAAAAAAAAAAAAAAAAAAAAAAAAACAGTACAATTATTAATTTTGATGATTTTACCGGTTGCCGATTTACTTATAAAATGCTTTGTAGTGTTAGTGTTAAAAGTGCTGTAGAAACTACAATGATTAATTTTTCGTTACGTTGCGTCTTGAAAAGTAATAATAGTAAAATGCAAATATTCTTTGCAAAGATAAAGATATAATCAGAGCAAAAGGTAATATATAAATATATCCACTAAGAGATACCAATTTCGTTTTCTGGATTCTTAACAACACAACGCTTGACAAACTTAACAAAACACTGACAAAGGAAACTGTAAAAAATGGATACTCAAATATCACGACACTTTCTTCTTCTTTGACTATCCCTGGTATATGCTCCAAGCAAATTTTTCGTCAAAGAGGCGAAATAACTATAGTCACTTCTTCAAGGTAACGAATTTTGTCAAAATTAAATAAAGATTATGACATTCAATTTTCTCCTAAAATAAATCCGCATAGTACCTAATGTATCTAACTAACCTAATAATCCCTTTAACGTGGACATCGTTTAGGTGGCACAAAACAACAGGATCATATAGGACAGATAAATAAATCACATCCATGGTCATCCATGGATGAACCGAGATTTGAACCCGGGATGATTCCTACTCCTTGACTACCCTACAGCTTAATTCGACTGATAACAATGTTAAAAGTGTAGAATAATGATGTATTTTTGTTATTTAACATTCACAACGCACGTCTATATTAGCTGGAGTGATTCCAACAAAAACTGTTACTAACTGGAAAAAAAACTAATTTTTTTTTTTAAAATTTAAATGATTAGCATCCCTTTACTAAAAATAACTTGAAAGTGAGTTTTATAATTGAGATATTTTTGAGATAAAACATAAGAGATCTGATAAAACATTATAACGTAAAGAAATAGATATAGTGCTGGAAAAAAATCTAAAGTTAATGAAGAAAGTGATGAAACGTAAGAAGAATGAACTGGTATGGTTTTATTTTATAATACAGGCATAGAAAATATGACATAATAACATCAAAAGCAAAATGAAATTTATAGTAAAATGCATAACTTCTTACTTTATGTGTCATAATAAGATTTCAACACAAAGTAAGTGGGAAAAAAGTATAAAGTCAATACAATTATTACATCAGAAATCAATGTGAGAGCCTCTGTTTTCAATTACATTTATCAATCTCTCATTTATGGATCCAGATAGAATTGGTAAAATGCTGGAATCAATATTGTTCTAAGAAATCTTGATTGCATCAATGAAATCCAACTTGCACTTGAAACGTTGACCAGATCTGTAAACGTTTCTTACTAAAATACCCCAAAGATTTTTTACTGGTATCAGATCTGGGCAAAGAGATGACCATTCGAGGGGTTTAACCTCATTTGCTTTCGTATGAAGTATAGACTGCCGCATTGTCCTATTGGAAAGTCCAGTCTCTAGATGTTGCATGAAGTAAATTATCCCTCAATATATCCTGATATAAAATTGAATTCATTTTAGTTTTTATAAATTTAATTGGAGCTTCACTGCTTACTGCAAAAACGTCACCAAATCATAAGGGATCCACCACCAAAGGCAAGTTTAGAAAATAAATATGATTCAGTCCGTAAATCGTACGAAAAATATCGACAGCCATCTGGTCCACCCAAATTAAATTTCTATCAATCTGAAAATACCACACCACTCTAATTTGCACCTTTCTTAAGAAGGTTTCTTTGAAAATGCTAAAAGAGCATCTTTATGTAACTTATTTAACAGAGGTTTTTCCTTAATATTTTTAAATTGAATGAATGAATATTCTTAATTAAATTGAATCGAATATTCTTAAATAACTTCTTCTGCATGATTCTTACGTGCGATTGCTGCATGGTAACTGCATTTCATTTGTAATTTGTGCCGATGACATCTTACCGTGACAAAGAAGCTTCCAGATTAATCTTTGTTGCCTTGATAATTTTTTTCTCCTTCCAACGCCCTGTTTATTGTCATAGCTTTCAGGATTCCTGAGGTAACTATTCTCCTCAGACTTGAACCATCCTATTTTTCTGACAGTTTTAGAACCATTTAAGCCCATCTCATTAAAAACTGAAATTTTACCTCATTCGTCTTCCCTTAAATATGTTCCCCTAGGCATTATATTGCTCGTGCAAAAAATCATGTACGATATCATTTACAAGTCAATAAAGGTAACCCCTAAGAATAACCAACTTTCATTATTAACAACCCTTTCACAGTAAAAGAGAGAGTAACTGCTCTCGTGAGATTTCACTATACGTATAGATTTTTTAGCATTACAAGAAACAAATTTTTAGCTAGATTTTGCTGCAAGACTTCAAATTCAACTGTGGAACATCAAACGAAATTTATGATTATTAAAAATAAATTATGAAAAAATTTCATTCCTCTTTATAAATATAAAAAAATCTACAAGTCAAAATAGTGATTTAATGGTTAATGTGTTCTAAGTTGTCTTCATTTACTATATTTCTAAAGTTTGGGTTCCTGTTGGGATCTTCCATGTAATTCCACTGGCGCTAGTATCGCGGTTGTGATGTAACTGCAACTGTGTTTACATTGTATGTTTCAGTTTCGGTTTCCAGTATGTTCTATTTGTTGATGTGTTCTATGTACGTATTGTGAATAAAGTTATTGTTATGTTATAAGTTATCAATATGAGTGCTATCATTGTCAATCATCCTAAATACATATCCCATGCCTTATAATAAACGGTCACAACAGTTCCGCTGGAAAAAGGTTGGCTATTTAGGATTCCGTAGCCGTAGAAATTGGGAACCGCTGTCTAACAGCATGATTTCAAGATTGTTTATCGGGTTAAATTTACTTTTCAGTTTTATATTTTTTACTGAATGAGAACTCTGATTTTGAAAACCGGAATTCGTGGTAAACCGTTACCATATTAACGGAAAAATTAATTGAATGGTTTAAGAACCATATTGATTGGTAAAATTTAACAGAATTTTTACCGAAATGACATTACAATGCAATATGGTATTTTTTAGCAGAATTTCTTTTTCTCCTTGTATAGTAACGTTAACCTTATGGGAGTATATTCTATATACTCATTACCTAATAGATTGTAGTCATCTATACCTTTTTTGAAGAAGAAAAAAACTTTCAGGAGTACTTGTTAAATTTTGGAAAGTTATGTTTGTTTTTTTAAATTCATTTACAGGAGGCTGCGGTGAATCAAGGGATAGCGTTTGCCTCCCAGTGAGGTAAACCAGGTTCGAATCCCAGTGGTGATTGGTTGATACGAATTTAACTCTCGACTCGCCCCAACCACGGTATTGGCGTAAAAATATCCTCAAGATGTCCTAAAGTTTCAAACTTTCACCCACAGTTTGATCAAAGTTTCATCTGGAAGTCCCTTATCTTCTGGTTCAGGCTAAAAAATACAAGGCTTAGGAGTTTACTTTGATCGTTGTAAACTCAGAATTGGATTAACTGTTTAACGCCGGTTATAAATTTGAATAAAACTTATCTACAAAATGATGAAAATCAGTATAAAAATTTGCTGAATTAATTTGCAATCAATTTAACTGTGGGTTAAATAACAATCGTTGCAATTTCCATTTGCCATTGCTTATAAAAAAACGAAAACTGTCGAATATATGGAGAAAAAATATGAACTCTATGCATTCGAATTAAAGTGACAGCAAGAACACATATCACGTCAGATAAATACCTTTATTTTTATCACCATTTTTTCCCGATATGCTTTGTTGTATGCATCTTTTCAAAATAATAACATGTCTTTTATGGCAGTAATATTAAATTTTTTATGATTTTTAAGAATGAAACAAATTATCAAATATTTGAATAGAATGTGTGTGTATAAAACATCTTTCCCTGCCATTTCAACGAAACGAATTTAAACGAAATCATTGCTCCCGTCAGAGGAAATAATAATGAAGGTCAACTTTTATTTTAATGTTTTTTTCCCTTTCTGATACATTATCTAGCGATACTTTTGCTTTGTTTCTACAGTAAGAAAAAAGGTTACTATCGTCGCCATCGTTGTTACTGACACTTATACTCAGTTTAATCGCTAATGCTCTTAAAAAATAAATGTTTCAGAACACAAAAATGTTTTTTTTTTTCTCTTTTTCTCTGAAAATTGTGGACACTTAGTTTCAGATTTTTTTTTGAAAAATAATTATAAAAATGCAACATGATAGATATTTTTGTATCGCGACCTGTCGGTGTATATATATATATATATATTAAGACCAACATTAATTCCAGAGAACNCATCTATAACAATGGGCTCGCCCTGGTTTTCATGGTTTCTCGCCCAGGAACAATGTTTTCATGGGACACATTAGGACCCATAATCCTAATAGAACAATCCCTGACGTCTGTAAGCTACTTGAACATAGTTGCAGACCAGGTTCACCCATTCATGGCAGCAGTTTTTCCTGCGGGTGATGGTGCTTACCAACAGGATAATGCACCATGTCATAAGGGTCGAATCGTCAAGGAACATTCCAGTGACTTTCAAGTCATGTCTTGGCCCCCAAATTCACCTGACCTTAATCCAATAGAGCGTTTGTGGTCCAACTTGGAAAACCAAATTCGAGCTGCCACGCTACCCACTCACAATGTGAGGGAATTGCAGGACCAGTTAGTGAGCGCTTGATACCAGATAACTCAGACTACCTATCAGCACCTTCTGGAATCAATGACACGGGCGGGTACTAGCAGTTTTGAGGGCTAAAGGTTGTCCTACATGTTATTAGCAGAGTGGTCATAATGGCTCTTCGGTGTATGTATACATATAAACAAAGCTGAGTAGTAAATTTAACCGACAGAATGGTTTTATGAAATTATGAAATTTTGCCACAATAACCAAATTATATCACATATACACATATTATGAAACCATATTTGTTTGTTAGTTTTACCAAACTTTTCACCAAAACGCTTCGGGTAATAATAATCGAGCATTTTGGTGTTCTCATAGAACACGGTGAATTTTAATATATTCTGATATTTTTGAACATTTTTTTTCCTCAGTGTATAATCGTATCTTCTGAATACCAAAATCCCAATTAAGTTTAAAACTTACCTTTTTTTCTCCAATTCTTCTGTTGTAAGAAAACTAGAGATTACTTAATTTCAAAATTTTATCTATTATATAACATAAAGAATGCGCTTTCTTTCATTCTCCATTTGATTAAATTTGAGTAATGGACAAACCTGCCGACATCACAATTACAATCTTGGTTTAGTATATATTTTTTTATATGAAACAGAAATATTGATAGTTATTTCAATTATTGAGTATATTACTACTTTCGATAACTTAGGACGTATAAGTTTGACGTGAAAATAATACGCTCTGGGGGTGGGTTGGAGATAGCGAGCAAAGTGAGGTTGACCCCTATTAATTACCTATTCTTCTTCTGAATATTGATTTCTAATTCTAGTATGATGCATTGAATTAATTTCACAAACAAAAAATTAAAAAAATCATAAGAAATAATTTACGCCCATTAAAATTTTTGATCTAACTCATCAAAATGTGATCGCTGCATTATTCTTATTTCATTGATTTTTTTTATTTAAGTATTAAGTCTGATAAGGTAACTGCTCTTATCACAAAGTGTTATAGTTGCTTCGTTTATCAGAAAAAAACTTAACTAGTATCTGTTTCAACAGCTGTAAATTTTCTTTTTGCATCTATTTAAATATAATTTAATGAATAATATTTTGCCTATTGTAGATGTTCAGTACTCTGACAACATGAAGTACTTTTCTGGTTTACTTATTTTCAGTAAGTTTAATTTTTTTTCTCCTTTATTCCTTACTAAAAAAATCCAAATCTCGTTCACGAAATTAACCCAACTCTATCAGGTATCCAGTACTTGATAGTAGCCATTGATTTACCTAATCAGGTATCTAGTTTTCCTTTGCATAATTCTTAGATTTTAAGCAAAAAACAGATAGCAAAAGAAATTTTTTAAAAAAGAAAGAAATTTGAAGAAAGAAAACCCTCGCTGTGACACATAAATAAACGATACCAATTAGCGAAACTGAAATGTAATTTCAACAATGTTTGCCTACATAAGTCTTAGTATTAGCTATTGATTTGTTATAGCCAATAATTCTTAAAATTTGTCATTGATTTACCTAATCAGGTATTGATTTAACATGATCAGGACTTATTTACCTGATGAGGTATCTAGTTTTGTCCAGCTTCCTTCCACATAATTCTTAGTTTTTGAGCAAAAAACAGATAGAAAATGACAGCTAAAATAAAATAAAAAATTTGAAGGAAGAAAACTTTCGATGAAATTCATAAATAAACGATACCAATTAACAAAACTAAAATGTAATTTCAACAATGTTTGCCTAAACAAGTCTTAATATTAGCCATTGCGTCATTATACCCATTGATTCCTAAAAATAACCATTGATTTACTTAATCAGGTATTGATTTAGCATTATCAGGATTGATTTACCTGATCAGGTATGCAGTTTTTTTTTGTATAATTCTTGGATTTTAAACAAATAACAGGTAGCAATATATTTTTAAAATAAAATAAAAAGAAATTTGACTGAAGAAAACTCTCGATGTGATTCATAAATAAACGATACCAATTATATAAACTAAAATGTAATTTCAGCAATTTTTGTCTACATAAATCTTAATATTGAAATAAAATTTCCAAAGAAATGGGATAATTGAGATTTAAGAATAATCGAAGTTATAATAGAAAAATATGTATTTCGGTCATAGCAAGTATTTTTCATTTTACTTCACACTTACACAATTTAAAAAGACATGAAATAAAAGGTGTTAATTGGCAGTGACAGTATTGTTACCTCTATATCTATTAAACGCAATTTAGGCTGGATATAAAAATTATTTTTAAAACTTTTTTTGCAATTTATTGAATGGGGAAACTGTGTTTTTTTCTCCTTTTTGAACATTCTAAAAAAACTGGTTCAACAAACTATAATATCGTTACCTTCACACTTAATACTGTGTTAGTTCGTTGCTGCAATCCATTAAAAAATGTTAAAATGAACCTTGTTTATGTTCAAGTTGTGTCAGAGTGTCATGTAATTCATATTAGTTTAATGTTACATGTTCATATTAGTTTAATTTGCTGGATAGTATGGTTCAACGTCCCACCATATTAGGGTATCAGGAAATTCGCACGATATTATGGATTAGTAAGGACTAAAATTTTGAACAGTGTGCTTTTATTTTTTCAAATAACAGCAAGTAAATTAACATAAATCAAAAATTAACTTTAACCGGTTTCTAGTACGTTTTTAAGTTTAGAGCAAAAACTAATGCAAATATAGTATGTATTTTAAAAATATTTCCAAAAATTGTTCCATTTTTTTCTACTTAATTTACTAAAAAAATAGAAAGAAAAGAAGTGTGCTATAGTACTTGAATTTTCGCTGTTAAAAATCTCAGAGCTTTTTTTCAACCGTACTGGCTGAAAAAAAGTTCTGGTAAAATTACTTTACAGAATGGTAATGACATTTCTGGTAAAAAAAAAACATAATTCATGCAATAAAAATCCAACTATACGGTATTTAAACCATTCGTACGATAATCTTTTCGTTTACATGGTAGTTTTTTACCTGAAATTCTGGTTTTCGAAATTATTTTTCTAATTAAGAGACATTTATTAAAAAATATTAAACTGAAACCTAAATTTAACCGAATAAATGGTTCTAAGATATGATAAAATTACCAAATTTTTTTGCATTTGCCAAATTTTATCACATATAATAAAGTGATATTTTATTGTTAATTTATTGTTAATTTTGTTATTAATTTTATTTAATCATCAACAAAACACTTCGATAAAAATTGCCGAACTTTTTGAATGATTTTTATTTTAACTTATTTAAGTCATCAAATAGACATCCAAGATTGAAATATGTTTTTTTTTTCAGTTGCTGCTGGATTAGCATCTTGTGACCATTTATGTTATCTTGGTCAAGTTAACAAATGCAGGTTGAAACTGAATTATGGCACTGACTGGTGCCAGTAAGTTGTATCCTTAATTAGTTACAATACATTTTGTTTCATTTATATTAATTTAATATTATATATCTAATTTTCTATTTTAAAGGATTGGAGCACTATAGTGATCAACCAACTTTTTTCAGAAAGAGGCATTTTTTACACCAAATTATTCTTAAGTATTGTTTTTAGATAGATACTTTACAAATAGTTTAATTTCCTTTTAATGGCAGCATAATAAGCAAAAACTTATATTTCCTACTTGGGAATCTTGTAACTTTTATAAATACGCTTTTCGACAAAATCTGAAAAATATGGTTTATCGTTATATCGTTCAAATCCTTCTTTATTTTAAACTAGATAAGTGTAAAAAAGATAATTAAAAAAACTGTATTTTTTCCTACTTTACCCTACCTCAGCGTATCCCGCGATTTTCACAGACAGCATAGAAGTAGTAAACTTTGCGCAATCCGCGAGTTTCCCTGGCAGCATAGAAGTAGCTAACTTTTCGCAATCCGCAATTTTCACAGATAGTATAGAAGTAGCAAACTTTTCGCAATCCGCGATTTTCACGGACGGCAAAGAAATAGCAAACTTTTCGCAATCCGCGATTATCACGGACAGCATAGAAGTAGCAAACTTTTCGCAATCCGCGATTTTCACGGACAGCAAAGAAATAGCAAACTTTTCGCAATCCGCGATTATCACAGACAGCATAGAAGTAGCAAACTTTTCGCAATCCGCAATTTTCACAGACAGTATAGAAGTAGCAAACTTTTCGCAATCCGCGATTTTCACAGACAGCATAGAAGTAGCAAACTTCGAGCAATCCGCGATTTCCGACGGGATCCATTTCCCCCACCTATTTAACAGTGCAACTCGCTAGTTTTCCGATCATGGTTTCATGTTGTCTTTTCTGTTATGTTTAATTGTTTATTTAGATCTGGATTTATATATGGCGTTAGCATGGTCTTAGTTCAGCAAATTATAATAGCATGTCTTACACCATTTTGCGCACTATTTTCACAGTTGTCTGGTAGGATATATCCTACCTTCCAGGCAATATTTCCGACACTCATATCAGTTCTGTTTGTTATTTTAAGAATATTAAAAATAGGTATACCAAAACTAACGAGAACTTCTCAAATTCCTATGCGGACAGTGAGGAATCTGAAAATTCATTTTCTGTTCAAAAGGTTCGACTGTAGTGCAAGATTGAAGTAGTAGTGCGAGAAATTGCACTAGTTCCACTATATAAGAAATTGCACTAGTTCCACTGTGCGAGAAATTACACTAGCCTCTGCTTCCACTAGCTAAGAAACGAAAATCCTTATCCTAGACATCCGAGGGCAACTTTCACTATGGAAAATCATACAACTATTTTGCTTCTTCGATTTAAATTTTCCGACAACCCTTTTTTTATATAATGCTATAAATTGAAAACAAAAACCATTTTTTACGTATATTTTTTGTCTATTTTAACTCTAAGATCTTCGTTAATTTTAAATATGATATAAAATTTTTTTAATTTTTCCAAAAAAAAAATAAATATTAAATAAAAAATTAAATTTAAAGTAATATATGCTTTTTTATTTGTTTAAAATAAGATAGTTCCATATCATATTTTATGTTTTGCAGTAGTCAACTTGAACTGTCAAAGTGTCAGAAAGATGCAGCGATCAGATGTCGGACAGGATTCGCTGAGGCGGTTGGAAACGTGCAATTGCAATTGTGGAGAATATGTGAAGAAAATTCATTTATACAAAAAGGTACTGCACTTTTCATCTTTACAAGGCGCATTTTAAATACCAACCTACAAGTTTTACTATAAAATAACTGTAGTTTAGCTTTTTTTGCAAAAAAAAGTTTTTTTTAAATATTTATAACTAGAGGTAGAAAAAGAAAAAGTTAAATGTTTAAAATTTTGGAAAAACAGTTTATTTAGATAAGGGTAAAATTTATTGGAAATATCATTAGACTATAAGCTCTGCGCAGTTATGCATTTAGCGAAAAAAAGTGTCTGTTTTATTTATTTTGAATCTTTTGTTATAAATATTAAATTTAACAAGTAAATATCAAAATAATAATTCTTTTCCAGTACTTAATATCAACAGTCAAACTATTTGTTTGAATCTTTCTTTTCTTTTTTTTTGTTAGCTTTTGAATTATGTCTAAATATTAACACCTAATTATGGTAATATTTTCTGTATTTTAATAAATAAGAATTACTTTGTAAGAAAAGCTCTATATTCTTAATTTTTTTAATTTAAACAATTTTAGTGAATTGTAAAAGACATCACGAAACAAAATGGATTTGCCAAAAAAAGTAGTTAATATTTAAAAGAAAATATTATTGTTGTTGTTATTCATAAAAATGAGCAAAAAAGAAAAGTAATAATAAAAAAGAAAATAACACCCAGAACAGTTTTAGGGACTTCTCTGCACAAGAACTTAATCTTAATGGTTCGAGGACTTAATCTTGAATCTATGTAAATTAATTTTTTTTCAGGCGGTATTTTAAATTACGAAACTAGACAAAAAACAAAACTCTTTCTGAGTACTTATTTCGTCAGATATAGGGTTTCCTACTTTCAAATGATGGGGGAGTATCTATGAACTGGAAAATATTGCTTGAATAATCTCACTCGCCATATTCGAAAATTTGGAGCCCTCAGCACTAATTTCACGTTATGCGTATTTCAGCTATATTAATATTTCATATTATATAAATATTTCATATTATATTAATATTTGTTTTACTATCTGCATTAAAAGTTATTGAAATTTCGATAACTTTTAAAAGCAAATTGGAAAACTTTTACACACAATTATAAAGATCGCTTATCCAAAGACCATTCCATAGAAAAATTATTAATTTATTAATACAAATAAAATATAGTAACGACATTAAATAAAGTAATAAATATTATTAAAAATTGTAATATTTTTATTAATACTTTTAAATTTATTTTTTATTTTATTTAATGGTAGTCTAAAAAACTAATTGCAAGTTGCACAAACTTCTTTATTATTTAAATAAATGTAATTTTTAAGCACAAAATATAAAATTTTAGAGCAATCGGTTGAATTTTCAAATTTTGAAAGAGTCGTTTATTTAAAACGTATTTATTAAAAACTTAATACATAAAATTTAATACAAATTTAATAGTGTATTGAAAATTTAATTAATTATAAAATTAATAAAACTTAATATCTCAAAAATATTCAATCGGTTTTGATCAAGTTTTGCATTTTACCATTACAAACCACGTTTTTTAAAATGACATAAAAATTTATTTACCTTATAATTCAAAAACTTTTAACTTGTTATTAAATAAAATAATAAAAAAAAACAATATTTAATTAAAAGGAATTATTATTTTTTTATATAAAACTTTCGCTAGGTAAGCGAGTTTTATAATTGTATTTAAAAAGCTTTCGAATCGCTTAAATAATTTCTGAGATAGGGCGAAATGCGTGAAATGTGAAATTATTATTAAAGAGCCTAAACTTTGAACAGCTGTCTTGACAAAATTATCGATACCACATATTTTCGGCTACCATGTCCCCATACACTGTTTTTGATAGTCAAATATATAAACCCATCGAAAAATTCAGAGAGAAAGTACTTTCTATGTCGGTTTTTAAAACTTGATAAACAGTTAACGCAAATGCTGCTACGCATTTATGATCACCACCATTGTACCTTTATCATCGGCAGTTAGTTTGTAAAAATCCGATCATTAGAGCAAACGCTATTTAGGGTAATCCCGTTTTCAAAATATAAAATTATAAAATATAATAATTAATTGCTAACAAAAATTATTTTTTTCATGGAATTATCTTTGAATAAATGACTCTTATTACGGTATGCAAATTTTTTTCAATCGATTTAAAAAAAGTTCTTGAGATATGACCGAATACGCTTTAAAGTGGATTAGACCAAATTTTCCAAGTGCGTTTTTGAGTCTGATTTCGTATTTAAACAAATCTTTTTTTTTTTTTACTTTTTCTTTTGCATATTTAAGATTAGGCCCTCAGATCAATAATATGAGATCGCTTGATAGAACAAAAGTCATTCAGGTTATTTCTTTAATTTGCACACTGTTTCGTTGAGAGAGTAGGCAACTATATCAATGTATTTGGGTTTATATATGGCTATAATAATATCTCATTATTTTTCTTAAATTTAAGAAATTATACACAAAAGTACAAGCTTCTCATTATTTACTTATTCAGAAATTTATGAGATTTATTAGATATTTAGATTATTAGATAATTTATTAGATTTCTTTATTATTTATTTGTTTTAAACACTCAAGTTATGTGAAGACGCACTTTAGAAACCTAACAGCTTTATTAAACCTTAATTTAAATCTTAACTCAATATTAAGCAAATTAAACTCAATTTTAATTTAAATCGAAAATTTTGTATAAAAAAATAATGTTTACGTGGTATTATTTTTGGACTAAAAAATATTCAAATGGAAGTACAGTAAATTTTGATTCGTATAAATAATTTCAGAGTCATGCCAAATTGTGCAAAAACTAAATTGACTAATCAACAAAAAAATTAAACAATCATTTTGCTAGAATGCAATCGAGATTTTAATTTGCAAGCTACATTTATTTTTGAATTCTAAAAATTATCTTTTCTTTGTTTTAGACCCAACTTTATCTTGTGGACTAAAGATGTTTTCTGATCCAGACACTACATGTTTTGAAGATTACAATAAAGATTTTTATAGACCTAACAGAAATCCTTGGAACCCAGTTGATAATGAAAAAGTTTTATGCAAGTAAGTTGATCTTTGAAATGTAAGATAGATCCTTGGATTCGTTATACAAGGTGCGACAGAAAAAATCGTTGGAAAAAGTTTTTGCTTCCTAGAATAGAATTTAACTGACTTCTTTTTAAATTGTGTGTTCATTTCTTTTTGTCTACCACTTTAATTATAAAATATTTTATAATACATCTCTTAGTTTACGAATTGTTCATCGGCTTTCTTACCATGTCAAGAAATAGGTCAGGTGATAGAGTTCCCGGGTTTGAATCCCAGTGATGACTGATCTATACGAATTCCGCACCCGGTTAGAACAACCTCAATCCTGACGAAAAATATCCTCAATGAAAGACGGATCACGGGTTAGAGTCCCCTTGCCGTCATGCTTATTGTGGGAGGTTTTCGTAATTTTCCTTATCATGTAACGTAAATGCGAATTAGTTCCATCAAAAAGTTTTCCACGAACGCAAATTTCCTTCAATTCTTGACCCAAGAGTTCTCTTGTCTTCTAAATTGAGCTCAAAAAGTGTCACCACGTGATAACAATAATAGTGTTGCATTTCTTATAATATTTTCAATAAATCAAATTATAAAAAATGAAAAGAAAAACTTTAATTTCGATATTACAAGAAAATATTTTTTTACATAGCGAAGAAAGTTGGCATCTCTGATAATCTAAATAAAATATGCCGAAAGATGCACATTTTAATCTCTTTTATTAAAATTCTAAATTTTAATCATCCCCACTTTTTGCAATTTTTGTCACCCATGGCATACCTGGATATGCATACTGCATAAAAAATATCTAATCTTGTAATAAATAATGGCTCATTATTAGCATTTATTGTATAAAGTGTTTCTTTTAACTTTATCTTGTTTGTATNTCACCATTTTATTATTCTTTTTCATCCATTGTTCAAAAAAACCAAAACAAGAAAAAATGATCATATCTATAATATCAAGCTTTTAGCTCGCAACATCAGAAAATGCGTGTTATTACATCACGTGACCCTGACAACATCCTTGGATTCGTTATACAAGGTGCGGCAGAAAAAATCGTTGGAAAAAGTTTTTGCTTCCTAGAATAGAATTTAACTAACTTCTTTCTAAATTGCGTGTTCATTTCTTTTTGTCTACCACTTTAATTATAAAATATTTTATAATACAACTCTTAGTTTACGAATTGTTCATTGGTTTTCTTACCATGTCAAGAAAAACAGCCAGAGTGGTTCAGGTGATAGAGTTCACTGTTTTGAATCCCAGTGATGGCTGATCTATACGAATTCCGCACCCGGCTAGAACAATCTCAATCCTGACGAAAAATATCCTCAATGGAAGACGGATCACGGGTTAGAGTTCCCTTGCCGTCATGCTTATTGTGGGAGGTTTTCGTAATTTTCCTAATCATGTAACGTAAATGCGGATTAGTTCCATCAAAAAGTTTACCACGAACGCAAATTTCTTTCAATTCTTGATCCAAGAGTTCTCTTGTCATCTAAATTGAGCTCAGAATTACAGGTTTAAGGAGTTGAACATCAGCAGTCGTAACCTCGAAGTTTGCGATGGCCGTTCAACGACGATTATGAAATAAAATATGCGTAGTTTACTTAAATTAAGTAAGCATCGTAGGCGTCAATAATAGTATGACGATTTTTTACGTTTCTCTTAAACGAATTAATCATTAATTCACTTTCTCATTAATTTTGAATTTGAATAAATAACAATTTTTTTTTCATTTTAATTACCATTGATTTTAAATAATTACTTTGTTAGAAACAGGTTTTAAAAGAATAACTAAAAAAATTTAAAATATTAAGCGATATTGGATAATGTTAATAATATAAATTTGGTGACGTTATCTACTGCAAACTTTTTTTTGTGATCATATAAAACTATAAACTAAAATTATCACTCATGTTATCTTTAAAATATGTGATAAATTGAATCGTCTGTATTTAAATTTAAAACAATGACTGACTCTTAACCAATCAGAAAATTTCGTGGTTTTCATGGTTTTTGATGTAATGCAAATGAGGATTCGTTCCATCAAACAAAAACTCCACGAAGGCAAATTTCTCCAGGGGTACCCTTGTCTTCTGGATTGGGTTCAAAATTAGAAGGCTGAGCAGTTGAACATTGGTAGTCGTAAATTCAAAATTGGGTCAGCTGTTCAACCACTGTTATAAAATATAAAATCTGCGGAAAATAATTCAATCTAAAACAAAATAAGCTAGACAAATGTGCTATAAAAATGCGATTAATTATTAATATTGGAATTTAAAAAATAAGCAATTTCTTGTTTCACTATTACTTAACTTATTTTTTGCTGATTTTCTTTTTTAAATTGTTTTCAGACATTTTAAGACAATGATGGAATGTTATTTTAAAAGCATCAAAAAGACCTGCAGCTTGAAGGAGTATATGTTTTTTCAGAGTGTTATGAAACCTATTACAAAGTTGCAAAGAAAAGTTTGTGATTTCATTCCTAAGTTATAACATTAGAATACTGAGGTGAACATTTTGTTCTAAAACATATATCTTTAATTTTTGTAAAATAAACAGAATATTACTTATTGTTGTTTGTAATGATTTCACACAAAAGTTCGATAGTTTCAAAACATCTTACGACATTCTTAGAATCTAAGATTCCATTTTTAAATTTAGGTGCATGATTTATAATTTACCCTAGATTGTAATCCTCCTTATACCTACGCTTTTACCCTAGATGGCAACCTACGTAAATCCAAAATACCAATTACCCACAATTTATAACCTACCTTATAATTAATTTATAATGATTATATTTCAATTGCCAGAAAATAACGTAGAAAACATAAAGTAAAAGTAAGACACTTATTCAGAAATTTAAAATTATTTTGATATTTTCCTTTATTATTTAAAAATTAAACGTTAATTGCCCTTCAAAGATATTAAAACATAAGTTATCTAAAGTAAAAGAAACAGATATGATTCTTTTATTTCTGTAGAATGTTTAACGATATTTTTTTATGCTTTTTCAGTTTTAAACCAACTTATATATAAAAAAATTATAAAACATAATTACAGGAATTAGTATTTTCTGCACACTTTAGGTATATGACTATAATATGCTTTCAGTAGGTTGAAAAATATATGTCAAATCTTAATACATAATTTTTAATCTATAATATTGATAATCCTGGGAAACATTTATTTTTTATTTTATTTATTTATTTGCTTTTATTTTTGCTGAAAATTACATGAAATAGCAATTAAGTCGTTGTTTTTTATTGTAAATACTAATTAAAAATTCGCATAAGTAATAAAAATTCGATTAAAGCATGTTAATTTTAGCGGATTTCGAAGTCAGAAATATTTTTTGTACACATAAATTTTGAAATATTCCAAAAAAAAAAGTCATTTTTGAACATTTAAAAGTCTTATTTGTTTAACCCAAAAAGTTCAATCTAACGAAAAAGTTAAAAAAAATTTACAGATATCTTTCAAAAAGTATTTTTTTTAAAAATATCCCTTCGACTTTAACAACTTAATGTGCTGATTATGCTTTTAAAACGATTCGTTTCTCGCCCATAATCTTCCGATAAGCAAAATCTGTAAAACTAAATCTCTGATATAAACACTTGCATCGTATTCTTGGCGTTGGAATATGTTGCCAAGATAGAACCTTTCTGAAACTGTCAACGACTGTTTCTTGCCAAATTAATCTAAAACCTTTCTCTAGGGCGAAATAACTCCAAGACTCGCTTAGTACCTTCATCCACTGAAATCTTTGGGATTTAATAGACTTATCTAAATAAATCAAAATACACAGTTAAATGGCCCGAAAATCTCAATTTTTCGGAAAATTTTCCTTTGAACATTCTTTCAGACATGGTCAATGGTTGAGAAATTATACCTCCAAAATATTTATAAATTGCAGAAGGGGAAAAAAAGCTTGCCAAATTTGAGTTAATATCCATAAATCCAGACAAAAATATCATTTTACAGAACACATGTTTACATTTTATTATTTCACCAATTTTTAAAAAAAAAATAAATACGACGTGCAAGGAAAATATAACTATGATCATGAACTTTTAAATAATTACATAAAATTGAGACATTATTGGAAACAACTGTTGAAACAGTAAATTTCAGAAAAAATCGCCCACCAACATTAAACTTTAGCACAAGTCTGAATTGCCCACTCTGTAGGAAATTCGAAGTAATGAATAGGAAGCACTTGATGGAATGTTTGGCTGTACACGGAGACTCCGAATTGAAAAGATATTGGAGTGCTAGGCATCTGCTAATTAGTCATTGACTTTTTTCTCTTATCTATTTCATTTGCATATTCTTCTTGTTAAGAGTTTGTCAATTTCTACCATTGGAAATAAAAATAAAATAAAAAAGAACTAAAAAAACATTAAACTTTAGCCATTGTATAGACAGACAAAATTTTCATTCTATAGTCTAAATATCAAAACTTAATTTTTTTTAGAATGCAGCAATGTTATTAAAAGAAATTATATACTTAGGTGCATTAAAATTTCTATTATGATGATTAAGTAACGTTTTACGTAATGGGATATCTGCAAGTGACGTAGTGTGGGTATCTCGATCTTGATTAGTTGTTGAAATGTAGCATTTGTTTACGATAACAACTGTTCTTTCCATTCTATTTAGAGTAAGCCATACAGCCAAGTATCAATTCTATTAAATGACATAATCTATATTCTTTCCCAAAGATTTCAATTCTTTTACCATATATTTATTTAACACAAAGACAGGCACGAAGCCATATAGAACATAAGCAAACTAATTATGAATTGAAATTACCTGGCACACAAAGCTAAAATATATCACGGTTACAATAAAACACATAAACAGAAAATACATCTAAGCTAAATTAAAAAAGTAGATGAGAAAATAATTATATTTCAACAAATTCGAGGTGCGATATGGCATTATATTTATTTAATTTCACGTTAATTAACATTCTAACTTATGTGGAGAAAATTAGCTCAACTTCAGCACGCCATTTTTCTTATAACTGTAAGTTAGCGCTGACATCATAGGTCACATATGCGGGCATCTTGAAGAGCATTCTTCTTGAAGTACAAGTACCCAATTGGATGAAAATTGAGAGAACTATAAATGATTCTATTTTCAAAAAAAAGTACCCAATTGGAAGAAAATTGAAAGTATTATAAATGATTCTATTTTCAAAAAAAGTTTATGGAATATAAACAAGTTTCATTTCACATTATTTTAATAAATATTTTAATTTTGGTTAGAATTATGTAGAATAATAGAATAAGGAATATATGTGTTTTCGTTTATTTTACGGTTCATAAAACCAGTCAAAAAAAAAAAAAAAANAAAAAAAAAAAAAAAAAAAAAAAAAAAAAAAAAAAAAAAAAAAAAAAAAAAAAAAAAAAAAAAAAAAACGTGATTTATGACAAAATTTCTGCGTTGCCCTTTACACTTGTGTTTTATCTATATAAGGAAAAGAAACTCATTCAAGGTCACATAACTAGGTTTCTACCCATATGCCAATTTACCCAAAGAAGTAAAAATCCATAGTTACTTTCACCATTATCCATATGATAAGCGCGCATGCGAAGATTATGAGCCAGAAGATTATGAGATTACGAGCACAGTCGATTTTAAAATGTTGCTGATAAAGGGTTTCATGTTTTGCAGTAAGTGAATATTTGTTATTTTCATGTAATTTCTATTTATATAAATCATACTTTCAGTATTCATTTTCATATAAATTGTTTCATATAATTTTTAATTGTCATACAAAGCAAAATTACTAAATAAAAACTATTCCGGAAAAATATATATAGTTATTTTATTTCACAGTTTTTTCTAAAATTCAAAACCAATGAAGAGGTTTTATTTCTTATCATAACTTTTAGCCTCTCACATTAAATTTTTCCAACCAAAGATTTTGGAACTGGATACTTAAATAAAGAGTTTATCTATATTATATAAAACGCTAATACGTACGTATGTATGTATCAATAAAACCGATGACATTTCTTTTCTCGCAATCCGATGATATTTCTTTCATTTTTAATTGATTGGATTCGGCGCGCAAGAGCACNGTTTTGTTTTCAAATGAAGTGATTCTATTTCTGCACAATAATTAGGTATTTCTTAACGATATTTAAAATTTGTTTCCTCGAAAATTTTGAAACTGATAATTAAACTATTGGATTTTAGGCATACACCTTCGAATAAATAATGAAATATATTTCTAGAATAGTTAATACAGTAGAACCGTAAACATTCCAGTTTGAAATTAGGCATGTTACATATTACATGTAATTTGCATGTATTACAAATATATATTACTATTGAGAGCAAATGGAATATAAAACCTATTTTAATGTAACATATCTAGAGCGCATTACATAACAACATAACTAAATATTTTCCAACGTTTGTTTAATTCAATTTGCATGATATTTCACTTAAAACTAAATATATTGCAAATCTATTGATATTGCTCATAAAAGTATAGTTCACAATCATTGTGACTTTTTTTTAGTTGCTTTAGCCATTGCTACAGCAGATTACACATGTTTTCCAAAATCCGAAGGTGAATGTTTGCAAGCATGGGCGAACGAGCATTCTACAAAAGACTTTTGTGAGTAAGTGAGTTTCACTTGTAAGCCTACATTAATTTAATTTTTTTCAGTTTTTAAAAATCCTACATTTTGATTTAAAAAGAAAATTCTGGCAACGTATGAGAAAAATGTTTATACATCTTGAAAACGTACTGCCGTTTCTTGGACAAAACAAGACATGGAGGGTTATTACTGTCATAGTCTGGCTTTTTTTATGTTTACATTGCTACAAAACCGTAAATTCTACAAATATGGCTGACCAACATCACAATTATAGTGCATTAGCAAAAAAAAAAAAAAAAAAAAAAAAAAAAAAAAAAAAAAAAAAAAAAAAAACAATAAGGCTTAACAGCATTACTATGAACTATATGACCGATATTGTTTCTAGATTTCAAATTTCGCCATGAGGATTTTTGAGGCTGCTTCTGGGGAATCGCTTAGTACGTGTAATTTTCGGCATCTTTATTTATTGTTTTACTTTCATTATCATGCATTGCATTTGTCGTGTACAAAATTTAGCGTTTTTTACTGACACTAATGCCATTCATGGATAAAGGAATAGGGGGTTAACTTTATTTAATTAAGCAAGCTATGGTTTTTGACAACGCATTTAACTTTTTTTGCAATAAAAATAAAATGCTTTGCGCATCGTTAAATAACAGGATTATGTAACTATTTTCAGTAATCAGATAGCCATGGCAAAATGCAAAGTTAAGGCTGCCAAAGATTGCAAAACAGGATTTGAAGACGATGCAACTGTAGCACAGTGGATGTTGGCGGAAGCTTGCACGGAAGGAACATCCTCTTATAAAGGTAAAGTTTATATGTAAATTAATTGATAGTAATTTTGTAGATGAGATTTAATAAAATGGGATATAATCATGTAATATGAAAATAGACAAATGACAGAAGGAACTATCGTATAGAACACAATGCTACGTACCACTCTGTGGGACAATTTCCCTTTGCATTTTAGTATTATAATGGAACAGAAAATGATAAACAGGCATAATATTAGACAAATCAGAAATAGTTGATGGAATAGTGACCCAAATTTAATTATTAATATATAGAATTAATTCATAAAAGTAGTTTCTATCACACTTCTAAACCCCAATGGGCATCTAAATTTTAATAAGGTATGAAAAACAATAATTTGTGTTGCCTACTGTGTTTGAATTCAAAAATAGTCTGGTAATTTATTACTTTTATAAACGATAAACATGACATAAATATGAGCCTGACTTTTTTTGTAGAATTGGCCCATCAGACCACAGAATTGGATTACCATACGAAAGAACCTGATTATTATATTGCTAATACGTTTATGTTTATATTTGTAGTTACATATTGATTGAACTGTATGCATGCTTAAAAGAGGATTTCTATATTTTATGTTATACATGATACTCCATAATCGCAGGTTTTTATATTTAAAGTAGGTTTTTTAATTATTTTATAATTATCATTATAATTTCTATTATTACTTTATAATATACTAAATGCGTGTAAAATATGGAAGCAGAGCAGTAAGCACATTAGCTGTCATAAAATAACATTTAGCTAGTAAAAAAATAAAAATGCTATAAATAGCTAAAAACTACGAATCAATTTGAAAAAATGCGGTACGTATAACTCCAAAACCAGTTTAATTGCTCGATAAAACTTAGAATTATTTATTATAATTGCATTTCAACTTCTCCTTGTTTCTGCTGTAATTAAATAGACTTTTATGTTTTCTGTCCCACCTTCGGCGATGACAATTCGTCAGATTTCGTTAGTATATTTGTTTTTAATTTCTCTTTATTAAATATTAATATATATGCAAATGTGCATACAAATTCAATTGTTGCCGAAGATTATTAAAATACATTAAAAATGACTATAACGAAAAACCCTGCAAGGTTTCCTATATTGTTGTATGTATGCTTATACCAAATTCTTATGCCAAACCTATAATTGTTTGATTAATGTACTGAGTTTCCTGAAAAAATTGGTGCAAACTTTAAGAGTTGGTAGAGCATATAAAAAAGATGAAAAACTGCGTAGCAATCCATGATGGGATACGTCATCGAATGCCCTACCATGTAATGAGCATATTGTTCATGTCCCTTTGAATTTTATTTATCGAAATTATCTTCATTTCATGTTAGTTTTATGTTTTATAATAATTCCTCCGAAAATAGCACTCAAATGGGTTTATAAATATACGAGGGTCATTTTTTAAGTAAGAACCGTTTTGTAATGGAATAAAAGAAACTTTATATATAAACTCAAAATGAATCACAAACTAAAATATGAACGTTTATTCACTTTTAATCATAGTTACAATTTACAATGATATATTTGTTGAGTCGGAGCTTCAGCTTTTGTATCCCATCATCAAAGAACCGCCCTACCGTTAAACCAGGTTCGTACAACATATCATCATTTTCTTAGCTATTTCCATCAAGAAATTTCTGAAGTTTTGGAAACAGATAAGAGTCTGATGGTGCTAATTCAGAGCTGTATGGTGGATAACCCAGTGCTTTCCATTCATGATAGTAAACCTTCCAGATCGTTTTTCAGCATGAATATTTGCTGTTCTTTCATTAAAAAGCCTGCACCATTTACGCACATTTCCATCATTTATTACTCTTTCAACATAAACTCTGCCAGTAAGTTAGTTCTTGCAGGACGAACGTTTTTGAATTTAAAAACCGAATAACTAAACTCCTTTCCAAATCGGCGAGATTACTGATTGATGTGATGACGAACGAAGCAATATAACCAAACAGCCAACACCGGCAGAGGCGTAAAACGTAGGGACGGCGTAGTGAGAGACTTGCTAAGAATTGCCGAACTTGAACTGACGTAACTTGTCATGATGTGCGAACACGAAATGCAACCGGTTCTTACTTTAAAAATAACCCTCGTATGTTTTATCACAATACGGTTTGGTAAACTGGTCGAGTTAGTTACCAAATCATTAAGTTTCAATAGAACAACAGAAACTGAACTTATTTTTGACAATTAGTATTAGAAAACATAAAATTGCGAAACTTTAGATAAGTAAAAATAGCTGCTCAAAGGCACACGGAGAAACATTTCCTGAAAGGAAGCGTATGATTATTTTTCAGGTCATGGCTTGCAATTCTCCTTCCTTTTGATACACCTTACCAATCCTTAAAATTTGTACCAATAATTTTAGAACCCTCCGTAGAATTGAAAAATAATAAGTTTATTAAATATCGAATATCATTTGCTCTGTTTGTACAATATATTCTAAAATAACTATCCTGTTTTTAAATAGATGGTTTTTCAAACCCACTTTTTTTAAATAAGATTTTGCTTGCTATTAAAAAAGATTATATGTCTCATTTATTGATTGGCTTTTCAGCAATACGAAGAAATAACAGCTGTGGAATAAAGGTTTTGAATCCCAACAGCGGATGTTATGAAAACTATGAGAAGGATTTGAAAAAATTTGATCGAAGTCCTGATTTCCTCGAAATTGCCAGTATCACTTGCAGGTAGGTATTAAGCCTATTTATTTAAATAAAATGCTTAAAAAAATTCTAATTAAACAAAATGCAAAGTAACTTTTTTCTAAATTTATTGAAATGTTTATTTCTCAGCAGTTCCTATCCCTTAATTAATGCATTATTTCAAATTTACACGTTCAACTTCTTTCTGGCTAGTTTTTTTTTAAATAACTGAATCTTGCTTAAAATATACATTAAAGCCGATGATTAAAGAAACTTTATTCTATCATATTTCTGCTCATCAAGTATAAAAACTGCAAAATTATATGTTTACTTTCTTAAAGAACGGTATATTGCAAAAGTAAATTAGAACACGAAGTTAACCTGGGAGAATTTTCTCACTAATCAATGAAATAGTTCAAAAAATAGTAAATATTACTTTTTTGTTAAATTAACCGTTAATAATATTATCTATATTTGCTTTTTTCCCATTTTTATTATTATTATGTTGTTTTGCTTTAATTTTAAATAGCAGTTTTAATAAACCAAGAAAGATCTTTCCCCCAATTTGTTCTTACGGAAAAGAAAAGATTTCGCATCTGGGTAAGAGAAATTGCTATGAATTATAAACTCAATTCAATCGTGAACAATAAGAAATATATTTAACGGCAGTTTTGAAGACCAATATCGTAATATTAGAAGTAAATATTCCATTTTCTGAGAATCAGAAAACAAAAGAAATATAACTATAGCAAAAAATTGAGAAATAAGGAAAAGAAGAAATTGTTTATAAGGATGGAAATACTCGAATACTTTCCATACTTTCTCAATTTTATTTTTAATTAAGCACTTTGTAATCTCTTTTAGTAGAGGAATAATGCCCCATTTCACAGTATTAGTAAACACAGTATTAGTAAACTGTCCTATTTTTTAGTAGAAGATATAGCACGGTTTTTTATTTTAGCATGATCGCTTCCAAAGTAATCTATTATGATACGCTTTGCTAGCCAAGCTTCCTAGCTTATGAAAAATACTTAATACTAAAATATTTTATATAACTGGTATTGTAATGAAAATTATGAATAAGAGCTATTCTAACGTTTGCTTCGGAGTAAAGGAAATAAAATAGCTATATTTTATTATTAACGCTATTAACAATCAGCTTGATTATTTTAGTAAACACTGCAATAGTACTGTTATACAAATACCCAGAAGTACAGCAAAAATACTGCTCTCTCCCCCTCCTCGTTGAATAGAATCTCTTTGACTGCGCAATCTCTTCTAGATATAACTTTTTTACAAGGGTGTACCTTTCGTGAAATTTCGATTATATAATTTTGAAAAATATTTTTTTGCATGAAAGAAGCTTATTTATAAACCATGAAATATGCAATACGATGTAATCTGCATATTTATAAATCATCATTCTAAAAAAATTAATTATCCAAATAAAATAAAATGTTTTTAACTGAAATATGAATGATTGATACACTGTGAAAGTATTTCATTTAATAGGTCATAGTATGTATATAATTAGCACGTTAAAATATCTTCAAATGGAAACATAAATAACAAAAAAAACGCCATAGTGATAAATTTGATTAAAAATACTTGCTTTATATTCCAATTTCCTTTTATTGTGTATTTCTATTTACCTCAAACTATTTCTATTTCCTTTCCAGACATCTTGATGACATCACTAACTGTTTGTATAAAAAGGCTGAGAGATGTGATTTTGAAGCAAAACTTGCCATTCGTTCGATTGTAAGATCAGATAAAAAGATCTATGATCAAGTTTGTGCTGCATTTCCGTCATTTTAAAGTGTGTATCTGCTGATATTTCGAATAAATACTTAAATAAACAGCGTCATTTTACTGCCTATTAGTTTTCCTTTAACTAGGAAAGTACTGGAAGTATCACTCGCCAATCGAGCTGATTTTTTTTCTTTTGTTGCAGACAGTTTTACAGTCAAATATAATTTTTCTTCGTGTGTTTCAAATTATTAAATTATTAATGATCAAAATCTACAACATTTTCCATGAATAACTTGATATAAAAAGTAACTTTATTATTTTATTGCGAAAGGTAATTTTACTATTTTAATACCAAAGGTAATTTTAATTTAAGACTCTTCTCCTCAATCTGAAACTTAAATAATGTTGCTCTAAAATGCGTATTTTAATAGATTAAATTGTATAATTAGAATAAAAACTTTATTGTTTTGATTATTAAATTCGTAAGTTCCTAACCAACCTGGAGAATGCACTAGGTCTGCTCATCGGGAAGACTGATTGTGCAGCTCATAGGAAATTAAAAAAAACCTAAGATGACGATACTTGCAGATATCAAATTGCAGTTTTTTCGTTTGAGCAGTCTTTTGCAATACAGACCAGCCAAAATTATGAGGAAGACGGTTTTCCTTCCTTAAGTAAACACGGTTCTGATCTGCTTTTTTAAGATTGTATCCGTTTTATATTTGTGGCTGATATATTTTACTATTTTGTACGATTGTTTTTATATTGAGTAGATATAACATGTTGTGTTTCTCACAGTATAGCCGCGTTTGTCATTTGTGATATCAAGTTTAGTTTAATCGCGAATGAATTAAGAGTCACAGTGTTGTAAACATCTCAACCGAAAAAGAATTATTTGTCTTTATTATACAAAAGTCACAATTGTGGAAATATGTCAATTCAACCAATGAAAGTTTAGACCTTTGCAGTTAGAAACTTTAGAACGCGTTTAACAATTATATCTTTCAGATTTTCGCAAACCTCTTAAAGAGCTAAAATTAACTGTATTATGATTTCTCGTAAACTCGATAATACGATTTTGTATTTCATCTTGAATTGAAACAATATTAAAATAACCAATTTTTAATTTAGTTTGCAAAAACCTTACATCGAATTACAATCACATTATGGTCATATATCAGTATTATGGTTGTTGATCCAAATATCTCCAAGAGTGAATTGATCCAAGAGTGTGATGGAAGTAAGGTTCGAAGGTCTTTCGCTATATTCTTCTTCAACTTCTGATAACTTTTACTCTTAACCTAGTGTATCACACCTAACCTAACCTAATCATTAAACGCATTCAAGCGACTAACATGAAAATAAAACTTTTTGCAAGTTTCTGATTTGAAAAAAAATTAATTCTCGGTAAGACAAATGCAAGAAATAAAATTTATGCACCCTATTGTAGTACGTACTGTTGCACGTCGAATTCGAAAAGATAATAATGTTCCACTCAGTTTTTATTTCATTCAAGAGTGAACATAAGCGAACTATAATTGTATTTTGCGTAATAGGAGTTTGAATAATTTCATTATTTGCAGAAATAAGAAAACGATTAATTGTATATAGTCAGAATTTCCTTAACACCTGTCGTTTTTTAGTTATTTCATCAACAAATTATAGGAAAATGATAAACGGAACTGATAACCTAAGTAGGAAAAAATAAAGGAATTACATGTGCATAACAGAATTAAATATGTCGATAAACTACTGATAACTTGCAGTAATTGATAACAAATACAAATGGCATGAGAATAAAAACGACAAAATATGCAAAAAGTTTACTACATTGAAAAGCTTGTAAAATGAAGTACATCATTGGATTCTTTTTCTGCTGTAAGTCCGCATTTTATAAATAATTTTTAGTAGTTTGCTGTTATTATTTTATGATCTTAAATTGAACTTAAAGCCTATTTTGAAATCTTAAAATTTGCAAATTAAACCGTTACGTTAAGTTAATTCCGAAACTTTGACATACTTTTTTCCATTTAAAATAAACATTTTAACGTCTTGCAAATTTTATGTGATTAACTTTTTTATTTACTTTTAGTTAATTCCGAAACTTTGACATACTTTTTTTCCATTTGAAATAAAAATTTTAACATCTTGCAAATTTTTTGTGATTAACTTTTTGATTTTATTTTATATATATTTTTATACCAATGATAATCTATGTCTATTAAATATTGATTTTTAAACTTTCAAATTTAATAAGGGCGGGTGTTACAAAATACTCTATAACGCTAATATTGCTGAAATAAATGTGCAAAAAAATAAATTACGTATTATTTAATTTATTTTTTCAAAAGTCAAAAAACATCGTTAACAGTTTAAATAAGTAAATAAATGCTTTAAGTGCGGTTATATATCTATGCAAATTTTTAATTTTTTAATTTTATTTTATTCGATTCAAGCTATAAGCACAACTTCAAATATTTTACCTCTTCGCGAATTTTGTTAACTGTTTAATTATTGTACTTTTAAACCTAAACCGCATTTTGCTGCCCCCCGGTATGTTTGATTACTTTTTACTTTTTTCTTTTATTTCATGCTCTTTTTCAACAAAATGTTTTTTGCGATATCGACGACGCATATAAAGAATAATTTTTATCTTAGGATAATTATTCTTTATTCAGAAATATCGCATTAATTTATACCAATAGATGTGTCTTGATAACGACTATTGGTTTTCCCATTTTCAGTTTCTCTTCATATTAATTTTTATTTTATTATTTGTGTTTTCATATATATATATATATATATTAAATAAAACGTACATTATAATTAAACATTGAAAATTACGTACATTATATTTTATTTCAATGCTTGAAAATAGCTAGGAATTACAAAAATGAGCAATAAATGACCATACGTTTTCAAAGTTTCATAAATTAATATTTGAAAATTAAGCATGATTTCCAAATATGAGTACTAAGAGACTACATTTTATTTATAGTTTTATTAATTNGGGTGGTATTATACAAAGTACGTACACTATAAGCATACACCAAATTTAAATTTGACTTTTTCCTACACACTCCTTAAATAAATATTTAATTTTATTTAAAACAGAATTATTTTAATTTTTATGAAAAAGGGGGGTAGACTAATAAAATGTACGTACTCTAAGGGGGGGGGGAGTAAGACCTTATGTACGGTAATGTACGAAGGGGGGGGAGGGGTTTGAAATTTCTCCATTTTTGTGTAAGTACTTTTTGAACGGCCCCTTACACTAGTCACTCAAATAAAATAATTTACATTCCTGTAATATTTGAAACCACGTACGATATACAAATTTCATTATTTTTAAAATTATTTTAGAATATCATTTTAGTTGCATTTTTTGTAAATTAAAATTTATTTTAATTTTAGGCTTAGCCAGTTTGGTTGCATGTGATTCCGAATGTTTTGTAAAAGACAGCAAGAAGTGTCAACAAGATTGGCTTTTGAATAATCCAACATTGCATTACCATTACTGCAAGTAAGAGTTACAAGTACCACATCGTCTCATTTTTTCTAGATTTTGGATATAATGCATAAATAATTAGTATACATTTCAAGTAATCCTTTAGTTGGGTTATTTAAATCTAGTTTTTCCTTTCCTTCGACTCAAGCAATAAAATTTAGAAAACAATAAAAAAAGTTTAATACGAATATATATGCCAAACTATATATAAAATAGAATATGCTTCTTTCTGGTTCGCTTCCAAAGATCTGCTAACTTTTGAGCAGTGTTAAACTTCATTATCATTAAGAATGAATATATTTCTATCTAAAAACTTGGATACAAGCATAAAAATAGTAAATTTCATTTAAAAAAACTTTACTTCCATCAACAGGATTTTCTTTGCAAATGGTTATGAATCAGTGAGTCTGCGAAAACAATAAGAAAAAATTCGTGTTAATTATAACTTTGTAATATCTTATAAATTCTCGAGGAATCATTAAAAGTTCCAATTATTCATGTATTACAGTGGATTCTTTTGGAATCCACTGTGTTTGTGTTGATCATTAAACCTCGATAAAGCGATGCTGTTTATTTTTTCAAAGCCTAATTTGAGAACATCAGTGATTACTGTATATTTGCATAACCAAAGACGTTCCACGCACCTGCGCATACGCCAGATTTGCTTTGATTCTTCAAAATTAGAGTTGGATGAGAGAAATAGATGATGCGATTGTTTGCTTTGCACAGCGTTTAACTTCAGAAAGACCACAGCTATGCGCATCTCTCCTTCTCGTAGGATTATATAGTAGTCTTGCTTTCGAGAATAAACAGTATATTTATTGAGTAACGTGGAAGTGTTTTAAGAAAAAATTTAGATATGCGTGCATTAGAATCTTTCAAATCCTGGTTATTTAATTGCAATAAATATAAAATAGGTAATTAATTAAATATAATTAACAAATTAATATTTACTTAAAAATAATTAATTAACAAAAGTAAAGTCGGTTTTTTGCATTACAAAGAAAAACAAGTTCTTGTAAAAAAATAGCTATAACACCAATGACTTCAGAAAAAAAAATAATTGACCCAATAAGTTAGCTGATTTTTATAAAATGTATAAACATGTAATGTACTTTTTCATGTAACTACCAACTAATTTAATTTTATTTAATTGTTTATTTTTTGCGTGAAAAATATTCTACTCAGATTTGTTTTATGTTATCAAAAAACAATGATAATTATTTTTTTCATTTAAAATTATAAAATTATTAATATAAAAAATTAGAATATTGCGTTATTTTGTTATATAAGGTGTGAGAAAAATATGGTAACTGTAAAATATCTCGGGTAATAGAAGACGGTTTGAGAAAATGAAATTTGATGCATTCAACATTTTTTATTAATTTCTATTCACTGATGCTAAACTCGATGTTGCACCATACTCTAAGGATCCAGAGAAATCTTAAATTTGAATTTTTTATTGGAGATTCAAATTCTACAGTAAAAAAGTAAACCAATTTGACTGATAAGTTTATGCCTTTTTACTTTACTCAACAATAAAACAACCAATCAACAAAAATTAAAATAGGTTAAAATAGGGAACAAACTGTTTAAAATGGCGATGTCTCAAGACCCATCAGATTGGAAAAAAAAACATTTTGGTTCTTTTTTTTGAAGAAAATTAAGACTAAAATCAATAAAAAAATTTAAAACATGTCCCCTTTTTATTCCTTTAGTATGTTGAATCTCAGAAATTAGCCATTTTGCGCAGTTTGTAACTCTATTTTAATTTTCCCCATTACAGCACCATCAGGGAAACAAAATTCATATACACTGTAATTAAATAGTATTACCTATTTCTGGGGAATCTGAATTTGCAATAAAAAAATTGGAGCTCTTATTTAATATTTCAATGTAGAGCTACCGCCTAGAGAGAGAGATGAAGGATCCAGTTTGGCATTATTGAATAGCTTTTAAAAATATTGAATGCATCTGTTTTCGGCCTTAAATACTCTCTATAACAAAAAAATAGACGCACCAAGAAGGAGTTGTAAGATTGAAACGAAAATTAGTGGATAGGAAGACAATGTACAGAATAGTAAATGATTAAATTTCAGAACAATTGAATAATTTATTGCAGAGTTACAGTAACAAGTTCAATAAGGTGTTTACCCGCCTCTAGCCTGGATACAAGCTTCCGCCAGATTCCGTGCACATTCCGTGCCAGATGCAATCGCCTTCCCATCATATCCCAGACATGCTCGATGAGAGAGAGATCTGATGATCTGGCAGGCCAAGGAAGAGTTTGACAAGCTTGCAGACAGTTCAAAGCAACACGTACCGTATGTGGTCTGCCATTGTCCTGCTGAAAAAGCAGCCCAGGGCGCTGCAAATGGAACGGTAGCAAAACAGGTCTTAGGATGTCGTCGACGTACCGCTGTGCAGTAAGTGTACCTCTAATGACGACCTGTCTTGCTGAGGGCCGGTGTGGCGTGGAATAGTGAAGGCAGGATCCCCCTCTGCCCTGTCCGTCTCCAAACACGTCTTCGATGATAGTCAGGACACAGTTGGAAGCGGGATTCGTCGCTAAAGACTATGTCCCCAGTCGGCAACATTCCAGCCATATCTGTTCAAAACATTCATGCATACGAATTCTTGGTGCGTCGATTTTTTTGTTATAGAGTGTATTTCCGTTTAATGCATGGTCCTTTATTCTAAATGTGTAAATCTCTTAAAAAGTTGTTTTTTGAAACATATAAAAAGGTTTCGATTCAATGAAACTGTTCGAATATTTCAGAAAATCAACAAGCATGACAAAATGCTTACTTGATGCTGCAGTAAAATGCAAAACTGGTTTTGAGTTAAAAGGTGCAACTGCATACGCTGCACAACTTGAAGTTTGCACTGAAGGTACTCCATCAAACAAAGGTAATGTAATGTAATTGAATTAAAAATAAATAAAAAAAACAATTAAAAATTCTGAAATGCATAATACTTGTATAGTCTTTCTTTATATTTTAAAAACATTTTGCTTATTTATAACTGAATACACTTTCTCAAAATTTAGTGAATTTTGCTCATACCGCAAATGCTTTGTGTTGCAATTTTTTAACGGCTACAATGTATACACAAAAATTTGAAATATCTGAGATTTATTTCAATTTATGTCATAAAATACAGAATGTCCTATTTTTTTAAATTTATCAAACCTTAACCCTTAAATTTGTGAAATGTCTCATAAACATTTTATAAATATTTAGGTATTAAAAAAATAATTGTTAATATATATTATAGTACTCTAAATTTATAATACACAATAT